ACGATTAGTTGTCTCGTAACAACTGGTTTCTTTTTAACTTGTTTAATGTTTATAGTATCTGATCGAAATTCTTAGTTTCTTAATATTTTCCACGAACACGCCATCATTTTATGCAAGATAATTCTACTTTGGTTACTGTACTAACCAAAGAAACAAGAATTGCATCGACCTTTCTAGGGAGATCATTAAATAATAAATATAAAAGAAATCATGGTTCGAAAAATAAATAATTTAAATGATCAGCGATACTTTTATTTTTGTATGTTTGGAAATATTATTAAATAGACATAGTACAAGGTAATGTGGTATCAGAGAACTCTCTGGAAGCATTCCAAATGTTCCTCTTTAACACACTTTCTGAGAATTTATTATCGAAAATCTGCTCCCCTACAATAAAGATAACGATGGCGCGCGTAAGAATAGGAATCGGTATAAATCTATCTGTATCTGAAAAATGAGAAAAGTAAATCGAAATATTTTTTGTTTAGTCAACAAAGATAAATGATAGGCAAGGGATCCTGCCACATATAAATATTGCAAGCGTATGAACAGATTTCGTGCTCGAGTACCCAAACGAAATATATGGTATCCCGTCACGACCCTGACCGTGCCGAGAATTTTCATTCCATTCAACCGAAAACATCCCTTTCAGGATACACGTTGCTGAGTTCGCGACACGCAACGTTGAACTTTTTTCTAATAGGTCCCCTAACTACCGGAACTGACTTTGTGCCGTCGAGATGATGAGGTAAACGAAGCAGTTGCAAACTAGCCTTACGACGCGACCCTCGAAGAAGGCACGGGAAATCTAAAAACCACATACCATCGCTCAAAAGAAACGCCCTATGCAAGATCTTTCACCTAAAACAAGCCACCCGTTTAATCTCATTTTGCTCTATTCAACCATTGCAATAGTACGACATCCCCAACGATGTCTCCAAAATGTTTGAATCAACCCAAAACTTGTCTTAGATGAAATGAAGGAATCAATGTGATAGTAGCGTAAATCATATTGTCGAAAATTTTGACATAAATATTGAAATGTAATTTGTGCATGCTAAAATGTTGAAAAGACCAGTGAAATAAGTTAGAATTTAATTATAAATTAACTTAACTTTAAACTTGGTTAGTAAACAATACACTTGTTAGTAACTGAGACTTGTTAGACTTACTCCCACTCCTGCGATTTGAAATCTGGCTTAATCACCTGCGAACGCTGCGTTACACCGCTATGACGACATTATACCCTTTAAATTGTAGGACTCCGAAACACTTGTCACATTACTGGTAGGAAAGATAATACGGTGACCCGCGGTGAAACTTATTCTCCAGAAAATGTTTAGAGACTGAAGCGAATGATCAAATTTTTAGTAAAACATGTAATAATTGAAATTTCAAATCAAAAATATTCTCAAGCATCGAAATAATAATTGATGAAATATGGCGATACTTTTTCATTAACCACAAATTAAGAGAGTTTACCATTAGAGAGAGAGAGAGAGAGAGAGAGAGAGAGAGTTTCTGGAGTGTTCAAATAACACCGAAGTATTTAAGATTCGTTTAATTTCTTAAAAATTTTGTGATGTAAAAGTGAAACTTGTGATCAATAAGATACAATTAATTCTAATACAGGCCATACCGATGAAAATAACCAGTTTCGCATTTTCTATTTTAAAATTGTTGAAATTATAAAGATTATTTGATAGAAAATGATTGGATAAATTTCGAAATTCCCCCCAGCATACATTATAATAAAAATAATTAATAGCATTAATATTACATACATTTCTATCAAGTTATTTATTTGTGCATACGTATATACAGTAATATAATTTTTCCAGTGAAAACATTACATCTTAATTTTCAGTATATAGATGAAATAACTACAAGATCGTGACTGTTAATGAATAAAAACGATTATGCGGAATGGATAAATGATTGAATCACCGAAACTTTTAAACTCCAAACTTTTTTACTCCAAAACTTTTAAGCGTTCAAATAGCTTTCTGACTCATTTTGCTCTTGAATATGTATTAACTTTCGTTTCAAAGTGAAAACTATAACTCGTGGGCAAAATTTCACAAACTTTAGCTGCTTGTTTAAGTTCTAAGGTCAATATTTCAAAACTAAATCAATTTCTGTTTCTTTTAAGAGAGCGAGGGGGAAGGGAGAGAGAGAGAGAGAGAGAGAGAGAGAGAGAGAGAGAGAGAGAGAGAGAGAGAGGGGGGGGGAGAAAGAGGGGGAGAGAGANGAGGGAAGAAACAGGGGAAGATTGAGAAAGATAAAAAGAAGAAAGCTAAAATGAATTTCTTGTCAGGTCGCATTATAATAGCAAAGAAGAACATACGATAAATTTAAAATATAAACAGCGTATTTATATTTTATCTTTAATTACCAAATATGCAAAAAGAAATTGTCAGGTTTCTACAATGTTACAATTTTTTATCTGAGAAACGCAGCAGATCTATTATTTACGTGCAGATAAAGTTAACTATTCCTTGCTCAATTATACTTACATACTTACATAATTACATACATTAAAACTATCGAGCAATAAAGACGACTAGTTCATATTTCCGTCTAAAAATAACAAGGTTTATCAAGACGTTACGTAAAATATAAAATGATCTTAAAGTATCTAAACTCATGAAGCTTGGGAAACTAAATGTTATAGTAATGCGTGATTTTTAATTGATAATAGTGGAACTTATTGTATTGAATCATAATCACATGTAACGTAGTGTTACATCACACAACATTTTTCGAATTCATGACTGTATCGTTTCATCAGTTTTGTTCCATAACATATTATTAAAGATCTTTCGTAGTTATACACACGAATATGTAGATTTATATATTAACGAAACTTAATATACAACGAAAATACGATGAAAAATAACACATGTTTATGTCGTCTTTTTAATGGCACGATAGAGCATCATGCCGATGCAAGTACAAAGTTTACATTCCAACTATTTGCCGTAAAATACGGGACGATTAATCAATTAAAAGGTTAAACGAATGTTGTTCCACTAAGCACTTACTGTTAGCCTGAGTTAATAGCAGAACGTCGGTGACACTACTTAAGCTTCGCATTAAGCCGTGAAGCGACATATAAATAGAGTGTTTAATGCCAAAGAGAATAGCTTCGACAGAAGCCAGTTATTTAGCCAAACCAATCAACATTGACACGACAATTTCGGCAAAACGTTTTCATGCTATCTCAACAATTTTACAATCTTGTTATGAACTTCGCGTCGTAGAAATCGTTCTTGGCACGTTATAAATTAAAAATGAGGTATCGAATTTTGATGTACTTTGTAGTACAGTATGTGCTATGGACACATTGAACACCAATACAGAGTAAATATAAATTAGAATATCTCGAAATAATTGACAATAAATGATCTCAGTAATTGATATAACACACAGTTTGTTTTTTTTTAATCGAAAAGAAGAAAAGAATTTTTATTCAGCCTCTAGAATTATAGAAACCATATTCGAAAATCGTTATGAACGTGACTGCCGTAATGCAAGAGTGAGATTTTAAAATGTTTTTTACTCTCGTATCGGATTTAAAAAGTTCTTAATTGCAAACTTCGTTAGTCGAATAGCTTGGCGTTGGTCGTTCGAGCTTCAACGTCAGCCGGAACAGTTTTAGGCCGTCTCAAATACGAATTTTTTGCGCTTCGAAATCGAGTTCATGAATTCCTATTACTCGTAACGCAAGATTTTTCCACTTCGTATTACTGCCTCGTATTCGCGACAAATGGCGGTGATGACTCCACAATGACAGCCAATTGAGAGTTAAATAACTTTGAATAACAACGAAAGAAGCTCGCATTCGACAATTGCAGGATGATTTGAGAATTAATGCTGCTCTATGTCGTCTAAAAAAAGTAAATTTCGCAATTCTTTTCTTCTGTCTTCATAATTGCGCAGATGTTCTGTTCCCAAGGTGACTGAAGCTTGGTTCGGTAGGAATGCATTTTCATTTCGCAGTTATTATATTGTTACGAGCATGGAATGGAAAATATGCTCTTTTCGGTTAAAATACTTTTCATAACCGGCTGAATTTAACGATGCGATAATATTTAGAACGACGTCGACAATTAGAAAAGGGCACGAGGAAAATATTTACGACACAGTGAACAATGGGAATAACGAGATAAAACGACGTGCAGTATTATTAAATACCGAACTATCCATTTCTGTCAAGGCTTAGTACAGTTTTGTCGTAAACACACAAGAATTCTAGTATTTCTTCTAATCACTTTTGGCCTCTACTTTCGATTTTCTCTTAAATCTTTCCCAAATCCAGGAGGAGGTATAAAATCCTTCGGAAAAATACAAACTTTCAAAATCCAATTAAATTACTCGAATATTTATTTCTAAGATTTATTGGATTTCTTTATTACTTTTAATATAGCGCGACCCCGTCGTCGCAAAAACAAGATAAATAATCATTATTGAAACAGTGATAATAAACATTATTGAAATAATCCTTCTACCGATGTAAGACGAATAGCGATGGTCGATTTGTCATCCCGAAGAAACCAATATTTCTCCTCCGAACAAATTATTCTTCGATTTTCTCGACGAACAATAGATTTCAATGCTTTCTGTGATCATTTGAAAAGTTTCATATATTGTATAATAGTTACTTGAAAATGTATTTAAAAAAAGCGTTTTATAATGTCAATGGAAAATATCCGCGCAAGACGTGACAGTGAAATGATTCGATTGTCCACCTAAAGCGCACAAAAATGTAAAAAATTTCACTGAAACGATGTTACTCGAAAGCTTAGGATAAACGAAGGATATTACTTTCGCGTAAAATTCCAGGATCCTTTGACAAACTTTTTGCAAAATATTACATCATAGTATCCCGAATAGGAATCCCGAATTCCGTGGTTAATTAAACGTTACTTTGGAAAATCTGTAGCACACCATTCGAGCCCAAAAGACGAGGAAATTATTGGTAAAATCGTATGACTTACCGCCGTTCTTGATGTCCTCCTTCGTTTCATCCCCTACCGGCTGAACGCTCTCCTTGCTCGTGTTGCATCCCATTTTCACTCTTATTCCTTTCCCGTTTCTATATTCCTTCTATCCTCGAATTGCAAACGCCCACCGTTCCGTTGGCCGCGACACTCACCGTATAATTCGCGATTATGATCGACTAAGTGCTTTCCTCGTTAACATCGAGCCGTCAAATAAAACGCCGTGATTACGAAACTCTCGTTGCACTGGAAAGAACCAAGAACCAAAAATCAAAATCCAAGGAACCAAGAATAAAATACGGCCCAATCACCAACGGCAGGAAGAATATACGTCGCGTTGCAGCGCGGCGGGACGAGAGATCACAGTCTATTTGTCCGATAGAAAGGACGATCGGCGTTTTCGAAAATTCGCTTCTGCTCGGAGTGCCGGGGGTGAACGACACGGCGTGGTACCGGCTCCTGTGCGAGGTCCGTCAGGACGACGATACGCTATGATTTTACGCGATTGATTCGGCTGGACGTGTCGTGGATTCGGACCGGTCGACGGTCCCTTCGGGCGGCTATAAAAATCGGTGTACTAAAATATTATTTAATATTTATGTAACTACCGGCAAACACTATAAACTCTACTCTACGGATGTATCACGAACACAAGTTCCGTCGACGTCGCGAGACGTACTGACACTGTCGACGACCCTGCCCTTGCGTCGCGACTACCCGAGTCGATATATATTCCTTTACGATCTTGGTGCGCGCACACATCCATGTCCGTGTGCGCGCGATCCAATAACAATGTGTGTACATTTACGCCGGATCGGGCACACAAACACGGCTTAAATCAAGCGAAAGCAATTACAACCGGTAGCCACGTAATGCCGAGCATACCGGCCTTTGTTTCCATTTCGTTTTCTTCTAAGCTTTTCGATTTTCCGTTTGCAATTTTCGTTTTTCGTTCATCGTTGGCTAAATAAATTTGACCCGCCACATTACCCGTCCTATCCCGTCCAATCGGCCGCCACTCCCAACTCCTGTATACCATCCGAAGAAGAACTTTTTGCGAGCTACGATCGATTTCATAAACGGATACTCCGATGCGAGCTAGACTGCTGCCAGACAGGCGCCGACTCTCAGGCATTCCTCTCGTTTTCTGGAACGAATATCGATTCCGCGGTTTTGATAATCCTCCGCGATTCAGTACCGCCGATGATTCATGCCTCATAGACGCGGCCCGTGCATTCGTTGCATTTTATAGTCGCGTGACTCGCGCTGCGAATTGCACTGACAAATAGCTGTGCTCGTAACGCTACATTCGCGACCGCAAGCTTTTCGAGGATATTTCAAATAAACAACGAGCACAATAAAGCCTGGACAATGAGTTGTAGGAGATGTTTATTTAGTGTAGATCAGCCAGATAATATTTTACAAACTTCAAGTGCCTACAGTTGATTAACGATCGGATACATGTATTGATCGTTACGAAGTCCAATTCGTATACAAACAGAAACTGTATACATTTTACATGTCAGCAGTGCTCCATTTATATGCTTCTTCTTGAAGAGCCGTCTTAGCGTTTTGCGCTTCGAACCACTTTTTCTCGTAGCCATTGCTCCTGTCGACGCCGTCCCAACGGTAACCAGGTTTGATACCGAATCGATTTGGCATGAAAGATCCCTCGTAAGTTGGTCGATCTGAATCGCGATAACAAGCATATTTAATAAATCACAGTTTTTGAATTGAGTTTAAGAATTGGATTACAAAGGATATAGAAAGAGAAACAAAAACAGATTTTATTAAGTCTAGTTTTCCTCGGTTAAATTTTCGAAAATATTTAAAACGCGAATTCCACGTTGAACGCCGTTGAGACCGAGGATTAAGATATGTGAAAATGTGTTTGTTGTACCTGGTTTTCTCTTTCCTTCCTTAATCTGCTTCTGTTTAATATATTCTAACATCGGATCGCCTTCTCTTTCTTGATCTCTGAGTCTTTTATCCAAATCGGCATCGTCTGCATATCTTGCAAGTGGCTTACTCATTTCGTAGAGATCGTCTTTTAATTTTTCTTCGCGATCTTCGACTTGTTTCAACCTGAAGAGTGATCGTTTCTTTTGATATGAACATTATATGTTTTATAATATTATTATATGTTTTTTAATATAGTTCTATCTTTAAAATTCGAATTAGATTTACTTACCCCTTCCCCCACTTAGCATACTTTTCATTCAATTCTGTTTGTCTCTTCTGTTTCTCGCGCTCCTCTGCTGCTTCTGCTTCTAAATTACGTTTTCTACCCGTTTTAGAATCTCGTAGAATTGCAGCCTGACCAACGCCAGTGACTTCTTTGCTAAGCTAACAAATTGAAATCGAACGTTTTATGCTAATGAGAACATATCGTATAAATAGAAATAGAAAAAGAAAAATAGATAAATACCTTGCTAAAGTGTTCAGCTTCTCTTTTTTTATGGGCTTCTGTTTCCTCTCGTAATGCCCTTGCATCTTGCAATCCAGCTTTCTTTCCATCTAATGTTTTCTTCATTCGCATTTCGCTATCTTCTATATCGTCTCTGTGCTTTGAAACCAACTTTTTATGATTGCTATAATCACTTGTAGATTTTCCATTTCTGAAAGAGCCTTCGGACTGATATCTAGTGTCTCTTTTCTTTTTCGACTTGTACAAATCTCTACCATCTTCCTTAGATTTGCTTCTACTTCTATCCCTGTTCCATCTATAAGATGAACTTGTATCCAAATCAGGATATCTCTTTCCTAGCCAAGTACTTTTATCGGAATGATTATGACGCTTGCTCTCTTTGGGTAAACTCGCATGCGAGTCTCCATGTTTGTGCCTTCTAATTTGTCTAGGTGGACTAAACTCAGAATTATCATTCCTATACCTTTGTTTGGTACTCAAATATGTATTTGCCTGTTTCTCAACTCTTCTTGGCGGACTTAAGTCTGAATCAGAATTCTTATTCAATTTTCTAGAATCTAAATCCGACTTTCTTTTCTCATACTTGCCTTTCTTAGTTTTTCTCGGTGGACTTAAGTCAAAATCAAAATTCTTATTCTTCTTATTTCTTGGTGGACTCGAATCTGTATCACTTCTACTCGTATGTTTTATCATTTTCTCAGACTTGCGTTTCTTATTCTTTCTAGATGGACTTAAGTCAGAATCGTCATTCCTAGATTTAGATTTTCCAGGTGGACTTAAATCAGAATCATAATTCTTAGATTTAGACTTCCTGGAAGGACTTAAATCGGAATCATAGTTCCTAGATTTAGACTTTCTAGGTGGACTTAAATCAGAATCATCGTTCCTAGATTTAGATTTTCTAGGTGGGCTTAAATCGGAGTCATAATTCTTAAATTTAGACTTCCTGGGTGGACTTAAATCAGAATCGTCATTCCTAGATTTAGATGTTCTAGGTGGACTTAAATCGGAGTCATAGTTCTTAGATGTAGACTTCCTGGATGGACTTAAATCGGAATCATAGTTCCTAGATTTAGATTTTCTAGGTGGCCTTAAATCAGGATCATAGTTCTTAGATTTAGACATTCTAGGTTGACTTAAATCAGAATCATAGCCTTTATTATGATTTTGTCTTGGCGGATTCATATCAGATTCAGATATTTTCTTTTTCCGTCTTATATGTTTTTTGTTTTTATAAAGAGGAATATCAGCATCTGAATTACTATCACTATTCCTATTCCTTTGATAGTTCTTATTATGCGAGTTAGTATGCTTTTTAGATTCTTTTCTGGAAGGACTTGAATCATTGTTGGAATCATTTGCAATGTACGTAGATTGCTTGTTTTCTTTGTATTGACTTGTAATAGTCAGATCTCCATCTTGACTATTAGCTATAATTTTCCATCTCCTTTTATCTGTGAAATCAACTGGTCCACGTTCATCCACAATACCAGCAATTTGAGGTGCATCTTCTCCGTCAATGAAAATATCAATTTCATTATCATCGATCGGTCTCATATTCTTCAGGTCTATGTCATCGTCAATGATTTTTACTCTGCAAAACACATCTAAGAATTTGAGAAAGGAAGTGAATAATCTTCTTAAGTAACTTATTATTTTCTATGTTTAGGGTTGGTATTAATTTAATGCATTGCAAGGTTATTGCAATTCTTCTTCTAGTTAAATTAATCTTCAGCATTACTTTATGACAGAATCAAAGAAATGACAGGTAATAGAGTATATTTTTGTCACGATTCGTTATATAAAAGTTTCAAACTATTTCACCCTAAAATTCCAGGCGCGTGAAACAATCATTATAACCTAAAACACAAAGGGGTTTCTTCTTGAAACTGCCATGGGAAGGTATGATGTTTTGAAATTAATACTTACGTCTTTGCTCCTACATTAAGCCTTTTCTTTTTCCTCTTTTTCTTGTCATCGCCATTTCCCGAAGATAAATATTTCTTCAAATATGCTTTCTGGTCTATCATTTTCTTCTCCATTTTCTTTTCACAAACAACGTCCACGGTGCACACCAACGTTTCAACTGATTCAGCTACGTAACGTACCCCTTGGCGTACAGAGTTGTATTGAGTGATGTCGGTGGCGAAGCGTCCTGAAATAGGAGGGTAGGTACAGACACTACTTTTCTCTGATTGGTTGACGCTTTACAGATAAACAGTGCTGCCCTCACAGTTTTAGACAAAGAGAGAAAATGGCGACTGAGCATGAGAGTACGATATCGGCACAACACAAGCGAAAGAAGTCACACCGTGACCAATGTAGCTTGTCTCACTTTACCATGTTTGCGACCTGACTCTATTCGTGCATCCGCACCCCTGGCGCACCATCTGAAACACTCGGCATACTTGCCATCTTCAAATGGCGACCATTTCTACAATTATGAAAATTTTCGAAAACTCGTAAGCTACATCTTAAATAACACTTTCTGTTATTTACAAAAATAATAAATTAAGGACAAAATGTTCTTAATTCAGCCATCCCAGTACTCGTCAACTTTGACGACCAGCAATCAATGCTCTACTCTACGAGAAGGATTTTCGAAAGCAACGAATAATTCCACAATTTTATACGATTTTTCTTTTAAAAATTTGAAAAAACAAAGCTGAAACTTGTGTTCATATTCTCTTAGAAAGACTACATATTTAATTTAGTAGTTACCTACAAAAATTTCTCAAACTCAAAGGTTTAGAGAATTAGAGTTAAGAATTATTGAAGATTGGCAAAATAGATAAAAAATTTCGAAACATCTAGTAGACTTTCTAGTAGTACTCATTTCGCAGCTCGTAGTTCTGGAGTTTGAACCTCGCGTCATACTTTCATGTCTAGGCGAAATCCCACCATCGCCCTCATCTCTGTGTTAAAGAATTTTGTTTGGCTGAATTAACAATATTTTATGGATTCATAAACCAGAAAGTATTATTTAAAATGTAGCTTAGAATTGTAGCTGTAGCTTGAGAATTTGAATAATTGTAGAAATGGTCGCGCGCTATTTCAAAACGTTCGCAAATACGCTGGCCTGGTGGTCGAGAATCCTGCGGGGCGAAAAGTACAAATCAAATATCGCACCGAGTGTTTCAGGTGGAAGGCCGAGGGTACGGATGCGCGAAAAAAGTGAGACCGCAAGCACGGTAAAGTGAGACAGCCTAGATTTGTTGTCTGCCTGGACACGTACATATAGAGTCCGCTGGTTTCGATCTGTCTCTCTCGACCATATCCCGTTCTCTTTCTAAACCAACTGTGCAAAGCTGGATGCGCATTAAAATGGTGGGAATAAAAGCGTTCGGAAAGAAAAGGTAGAAATCGCTCGCGATGAGACAATACTGTATTTCCTAACGCTCACACTCGAGGGCGCTGAAATCAACATCAAATAAGAGCGCGAATATTCAAAGCAAGGTAACCATTTATATTTTTTGTAAATTGTATCTTTATGACTTAAATTTGCGTCTCAAACGTTATTGTATCAGCGATTGAGAATTTAGTTTCTAAGTAAGAAATTCACCTATCTATTTAAAAGAATGTTATTAATAATATGTTTAATATAAAATAAAATAAAGTAAGATATAATTTTTACGGAAAGTACCAACAATATTTCTCGATGTTGTTATCCCGCAATATATCCTTTGATACATTTAATTTAACAATTCTCCGGACTTTTGATAGTGACAGTAAATAGATATTAGGTATTAAAATAATATCTCAATTTTAATCTTTTTATATAATGATGTAAAATTAAAGAGAACTACTTTCCGTTTTTTTCAATTATGCATTTAATTACTGTAAGGTGAACAGTTATATCTTCTATAACTGTAACTTTCGTATGCATGTGTGAACAAGAGGTGACTATGTATTGCGTGTGTTCCACGTTGAAAGCCGAAACAAATCAGGAAATTCCCAACCATAATTGTACATCCGATGAACATAAAACAGTTGAAGTATCTTCCATCCATTTGTCAAACAATACCAACCCATCCGTATTATGCAGTTTCTTCGAAAACCTACAGTTGGTCTTCAGAAGCTGTGCCACCATTTAGCCCTCACAGATTCCTTTTTCTTTTTTGCATGCTTTGTCAAGTCGAAATGCTTTACGTCTTTTTTTTTATTTGAAGTTTGAAATTATATATATAGATTTTAATAGTATTGAATTCGGCCGCTTCAATTATTATTCCTATAACTCTAAAGAATTATAGGGAACCATAAAGAATATGTGAACGTGATCAGTAAATAAATATGCAGAGAAACAGCGTGTTTTAGCAAAAAATCGAGAAGTGCATCAAAATGTTTAATTTAGCTAATGCATGATTGCGTTATATTTATGTATACGGTGATTGTTGACTCCAATTAAATCCAATTAAATTATCGGCACGCAACATAAGAATCGCGAATATTACGCCTCCTGACTACACATATAAAGCAACAGACACACGCGCCTGATGGGCTCCGGGCCGAAAATTTCAATTTCCGATTTTTCAGTAGTTTTCTATATTCAATCTGTTAAATTTCGTAAAAAAAGAATCACACAATAATAAACATGGAATCATTCTAATACTTGAAGCCCCTACTTTGTAGAACGTTTGTGCATTATACAGGATGAGATCCATTTGATCCATTTAAATCGACCCAGTCAAATATCTTTGAATCCGTCGATGATTCTAAAAAATGTTTCAAATGAAATTTGAATGGTTCTTTTAGGTGAATTTTTCTAGATGAATTCCATTTCTTTAAATGAGATCATATATTTTTTACTACACTAGACAATTCAGCTTGGCATTCTCTTTATAAAAATACTAAGGTATTTATTGCGGAAAAAATCATTGATTTAGAAGATATTTGAATTTTACAGATAAGAGTAAATCTTTGAAGATCGTATTTTTTAAATACCAACTTTAGATAGGTGAGTGCTAACACTATGCATTACTAAAATTAAAATATCTTCTAAACGAATGATTTTTCACAATAAATGTCTAAGAATTTTTATGAAGAGAATGACGAGTTAAGTCGATTAGTATAATAAAAAAATATATGATGACGTATTAGAAAATAAAGTTGTTCTTCATATGTCCTTGAAGCGTTCACTTAGAAAAATCTTATTAATATCAGATTATATGCCCTCTAAGACCATTCAAATTTCGTTTGAAATATTTTTTAGTATCATCAACGGTTTCAAAGATATTATACATATATACCAATTGTAATGTCTGTGAAACCATTGAAAAATTTATGTGATGACTAAGATAGATTTGAAAATTACAAATTGAAACTTCATTTTACAAGGAATTCTTAATACTTGATATACAGGATGTCCCAGCATCGGTGGTACAACAGAGGAGAGGGTGATTTTATATTAAACCATAGTTACGTGCACGCGTGTACACGCTGAATATTCAAAGTCGATTTTTTCGACAACGAAGCCTCAAATTAAAAAATTTTATTTCTTATTTCGGATTTGTTTTTTCATGTAGGATCACCTGGGATATCTTGTATAATTTATGTTGTGTAGTATGTGGAAGTGTCATGGTACATAGCACATGGCAAAGTTTAGTTATTAAACAGTAGCTTACTATCATTGATGGGGTTCTAAGATATTAATAAAGAAAGTAAGTCAAACAGCTTCTTCGCATAAACTACACACAAATTTTGGACTGGACAAAATTTTCCGACAAAAAACCAAGAATCTGACATTTTTGTACCTTTTAAGAAATTCATAAGTAAATTGACAAATATAAGAGAACGCCAATTAATCATTCACTTTTATTTCTTATTTTCTTTTTTTTTTTAATGAAAATTTAACATCGCATCGATATGTAGATCATTAGCGACAGGGTTTAATAAAGGGCCGTTTTTAATTAAAGGACTCATTTTTAGTAATGACATGTTGACGTGAACACAAGATTTCATAAAACTCTAAGAAAAGAAATCGTACAATATTAAATCCTATAATTACGGTGACCAATCCTGGTCGCCATAAAAATAAATATTTTCCTATGTTTCAGTGGGAAAACCTAAGTCGAAACATGAAACAATTTGAATAAATGCAGATTTCCTTTAGAAATTTAGAAGGAACATCTTTCACATTTTTACATTAATAATATTACTTCGTTCATCGTTCGTGTAGAATTCCATGCCAGCAACAGCTTTGAAATATTCAGTTCCGCCAAAACAAGAAACCGAAAAGGGCGCGAAATTTAAAGATCGCGCTCTTGTCGACGCTGCATACACTTTGTTGCGCCAAAGTGTAACTGGCGCAACACATTATCGGCAATGGTTCGAACATCAGGATATTTAATGCGTCGCGACTACAATGGAGCACAAGTTATCGTCACGGTTCTATAAGCATTACCTAAAGCGGTCAATACTGATCGAGCAATCTCGCGGAATCTTTCGCCGATGCATCAAATGCCTCATGAGCGTCCCGATGGTCGGTTTAACGGGCACGCACGGTGTATGCAGAAACTGGTAACCAGTTTTCATTGACCGGTTGGCTTGTCGCAAATTCGTGCATTCGGCGAGCTTATCGTCCGAACGCATCTGGGCCCAGCTACGGGGAACGATCCACAGCGTGCCGGTGCCACGGTGCCAGACGAACCTTATCGACCTTGCCGATCAACCGTGTGTAAATACTTGCATGTACCGTGCGGGTGAAACGTGGCGGCAACCTGGCGAACGAGAAGGATCTAATCCGACATAGGCGCACGAGAAACTGGAAGCGGTACTCCTGATTGGCCGGGAGTGGGAAAACAGGTAAGCACGTTGGCTGGAAGTGGAAACGCCGAGGAGGTAGGGGAGCGAAAGTGAGCACAGCTCCAAGAATGGGCAGGAAGAGACAGGCTCCTTTAGCCTGCGGCTGAAACTTTGACGGATAATATAGTGTGGAAGCGTCGCTTGTGTGTCCACGTTTCACCGTGGACTCGTTGCATTACGCGCCTCCTACCCGTCATTGACCGGTTGAAAATCGGCGGGCGAGCACAGGGAAAATGAGATTGTGGAACAAGAGCGTCGCTCGATCGAGGAAAGCCTGCTGGCCAGTCGAATGAGATTCCCGCGACCACAGTCCGAAACACAGGAACGCAGCGTGTGCAAGGTTATGGGTGTGCTGCTGCTGGCGCGATCCGGTGGATGTCAGTGAGAATCACTGACATCTATGCAGTTGTCGTTGAAGAAAAATCTTGTGCTCGCGACTCGGTGCATAATCAGTTAACGCGCAACTGCGCGCAACCGTTCGGAAGTGAACGCGATCCGTCATCTTTCGTTGCCGATCACGGACACCGCGATCAATCCGGAATCATGACGCGAAAGTTGAGCAAGTTCTTGATACTTTTCGACAACACGAACCTCTTGTACTTTCCCGGCCACTTTTTGTCCGGCCGGGTGATCATCGAGTTGGACGATGAGGCATAGTAAGTAAGCGATCTATTGGTTACAACTAGACTGCGATTCAAATGCATTCATGGTATCTGCGCATTCTTCAAATGCAAGGACACGTATAAATTGACCAGGTCTAATTACGTTCTTCCTTCTCCTTTTTTACGACAAGTAATCCATTAGTTGATGATGGAAACTAATTCTTGAACTTTGGTTCCTGTAAAGTCACCCATGGAAATGAGAATTTGCATATAGATCCGCGCAATCTAGTTACAACACATTCGATTATATTCGTTTCATCTATGCTGGATTTCGTGAAGCCATCACGTGGTGACGGCAATAGTGAGGGAACTATGCTAGTAAAGTAAAAGATGTTACGCGAGGTACCCTATTCATCGTTGAAGAATTAGTGGCGTCTAACGAAAACCCACATTGTATGACAAATTCGATTTAGTGGAATATTAAACTGTTGCTATCAGCTTTCAAACGAATTAATTTTCATGATGTAATAATGCGTATGTTCGTATACCCGTGAAATTGTATAAATTACGCCAAATTAAGTACGTTTATTATACAAATCTGCACCGATTGTATTTAATTCCTTTGCAGGCGGTTGACATGTCCCACAAGTAAATAAAAACACGTTTGTAATTTGTATTTTTAATATCTCTTGTGTCATACACTTCGAATGCGTAACCATAACTACGCCTACGCTATTGCTCAATTGGAATCGCTGGGTAGCGTGTTTTCATTCTACCAGAATCAATTAATTGCAACCTAGGATGCCTTCATAAGCAACATCGATAATAACTTTTGTATGATTTGCTGATATATAGTTGCTAATATATTTGCGTCACAATTCAGAGGAATTTCAGAATTAACGAATCGACAAATAATACAATCGTAATAAAGTCAACGTAAACGTATTGACATAATTAGGTATTGTATTCGCGATAAGCACCGTTCAAATTAATGAAGAAATGAAAGGTCTTCAACATGTTACAATCGATTCGATATTGAACAAATAAAAATGAATTTTATTTTTATAAAAATCCTTTATAGCTTTTGAATAAAATTCTGCCAATTTACTCGTGCAACTTTTTAAATAACATAATTTGTGAATCGCTCGAAATTGATATACAATTAAAATGTTGACGAACATAGTCTAAATGGAAATGTTAATTGATCGAAATATAATAAATTTCTTTTTTATGTTTCCTTGCTTTCGTCTCGTTGATAAAAGAAATTCAGGGAAATAATATACTAGATCCGAAGAAAATAGAAGTATTCATTAAGCAAGACTGAATAGAACTAAAATTCGCGATGTTACACCGGAACATAAACATCGTTCGTCTATTTCGTAAATACTAAAAGTTATAAATAATAAATTTTAATATATATAGAAGATGAAAATCGAGATAACAATTCTGGACGTTGCTCTTCGAGTCAACCCTATGTTTGATTCGCATAAAGGTGATGCTCGCAAGCTACACAATTTACCAATGTTAAAGCAATTTCGTATGCAGACAAAGTGTTATCTGAATAACATATTTTCTGTATTACAGCGTTTCAGGATTGCATTTCCACGTCATCGGCGAAGGAGTGGTCCGCGTACGTAGTCAACGCGCCGAGAGGGTTTACGACAAGGAGAACTACATAGATTTTCGTATGAGATTACTAGGGGAACCAGGTAATTAAAAGAGATTACATTGCGATGCATTTAATGCAACCAGTCGACTGATTACAAAAATTCCTTGAAACAATTACACAATGCAGTAGCTTCGTAAGGATTTATTTCTCCTCTTAATTCTATGCACTCGGATGGCGACTCCCCCCGAGGCACCAATCAAATTTACCGTAACTTCAACAATTTTTACATCACTGAAGTGTATTAAATAAACTGCTAAAAATTCAAGAGTGACACGAGTAAGTGTTCAATTATGTATTCAAAAAGAGAATGATATCCAGAGAGCATGGAAATAATAAATAATAATTCGAATAAGTTTAAGATAATACGACAGTATCTTTGAATTCAATCAAAAGTTTTCACGGATTTATATTTGATTTATCTATTTTCGCCATAAATGCATATAATCCGTATTTTGGTCATTTAAACGCAAACAGCCAGAATATATGCAATTTGGATAACAGGGTTCTAATCATAAGCGTTTGTATAAAAACAACTGGTTGGTTAACTTTTATTCAAACAAGTTCAGAGATAATAACAGTAGTTAAGTTGTTTTAACAATAAAACCAAAATAGTTTTTCTAATCTACAATATTTCCATGTTATTTTGATCTATCGCATTTTATGGATATGGTATCGAGCCTTGTGATCTACGCAACATTTACTCTTCCAACGGTTTTTTCGAACATAAACAAGTTTGATAATATTACGAATTACTTCGAAACGTGATATAACAATTATTTAGAGGCACCTCAGAGTCGCCATTCAACGACAAAGGGTTTCTCGTTACACAATTATTGAAACGGCAGTTGTTACTTAGTATTGCGGATGATAGGGAGATAGTGTGTTGTTACGCAAAAGTTCCACCAATGAAATTACGAATGCAGAACAGAGACAATCGAATCGAATTTTGAACGCGATCGTCTTATACGTAGATTCTTTAACGATAGCGTTTCGTATTTCTAAATAAGTTGCTGCGATCGTGCATCAGAAGATGTAAAACAAATGATCTAAAAGAAGCGATGTTCTGTGCGCGGCTGTCTAGTAGCAGTCTAACACAGGTATACAAAATGGTATGCATACAGTTGAACGCTGCCTCCGCATAATCATGAAAGAGAAAAGAATTCATGGTGCATTCTTCGGACGCATGTGTATTTAAATTCAACAGCGAAACAGTCTCGTATAGAATATTTTTTTCATACAATCGTCTGCCGCACCTGTGGTTCATGCACAGCATAACAATGCCAAAACTGTTCTTTGTTTTCCGTTCGCCGTTCGATGACACCGCCACCCCAGGAGAAGGACCGTCGCTTTTATCGCCGGGAATTCACAGCTTTCCATTCAAATTAGGTCTGCCCCTGGGTTTGCCGTCCACTTTCTTGGGCAAACATGGCTGGGTCCAATATTATTGCAAGGCTGCGCTCCGCGAGCCAGGTGGCCTCACGCACAAGAATCAACAAGTGTTCATCGTGATGAATCCCATCGATTTGAATTTAGAGCCGCCCATCCTGGCGGTGAGTTTCTTCTTCATTATAATGTAGATTGTATCGCGGTTTCACGTTTATACGTTTCTTTCGTGCGGTACAACGATAGATCGAAATCCTTTGGAAAACCATCCGCGTATAATGATAGTATTCCGGTCGTAAAAGGCTGAATTTGAATATTTATGTCGGAATATAATCTTCGATAGAGCCTCTTAGCTTTTCTACCGCCGGCATCGTTATCAGCTTCTTTTTTAATTAGTACGAAACATAAACGTTATTTTTAACTCATCCATAATTAAACTACAAAGTACTATATATCGTAAATACAGTAAAAACGTAGGTAAACTGTTGCGAGTGACAGCGTAATCGAATTTTTTAAACCTTGTGCTGCTCTGAACAAGGACGTATTTAAAAGAACATTTTACACATGGACGGCGGGGCTTGAATCAATTTGGACCTCGAGTATAAACATTGACATTTGACTATTTAGTTTCTGACGATTAATACAAATTTTCATTTAGAAAAACTGAATCCTCTAGAAGCCGTACATTAAAAGTTATATTGAAAGAAATTAACAAATAAAGTTATAAATAATGCTAAACATACTCGGTTATATCTTTGTCAAAGAAGCTTCCTGGACGAGTGCTAATTACCGCGAATGTGAAGGTCCTCTTACATTGTAGGTATTAATGTTTTATCTAAATTCGAATCGCTGCTAAATAGTTCAAGGTTAACAGTAACAAACAATTGATATTTTTCGTCAAGGACAGACACGACTTTGACATATTTTATTAATTACAATTTATTTGAAAAGAACAATTAAAAATATAAAAAGTATATTTTATTTAATAACGTTGCTGTAAAAGTTAAAGTTTCAGTTTTGTTTTTATATTTGCAAAAGAGAAACGTCGCAAACTTGTGAATGCTATGAAACTGATATTTGCACAACAGAACAAATAATTCGATAATATTATCGAATTGTTTTTCGATATAACACCTTTCCGAGGAGAAGCAAAGAATAAATATTTTCAATTATTACAAAATAGGACGTCTAAACAGAGAAATAATTTATTATCATCACGTATGATTGTAGTCAAATAACTAATCTTGATAGGAAAAAATGAGTTTTTGATTATATCGTAAGCAAAAATGTCCCTTACATGTAGTCTTTCTTTGATGTTAATTGCAAGAAACAGTTGCTACTAAAGCATTTCTCAAATTTTTCCATTTTAACATGGCTGCACAAATTTCGCTAGAACGTCCATTTGACATTTCCATGACAAATCTATGGTAATCAGAAAATTCCAATTTCGAATGTTTAGAGTATACTGATATTGAATCGATCACTATGATTTCCTCGTATAATGTTATAGATGCAAAACTCGCCGAAGATAAAAAGAACTAGAAAAATCAAGAAAAATGAATAGGTCTTTATGATAGTATAAGGTATATTACATGATCAAGCTAAAGAAGAAAAGCATTAAAAATCTGGAAGAAAAACGAGAACAAAAGACTCGCGAATATAATATTTAAGATGATGTGTAACTGCACAATAGAAATCGTTAAGTTACCGTATTTATAAGGTACCATTCAGCATATGACAATATCTATGTATTCGTTATGATTTATGTTCCTCTCGTACGAACGTGAGTTGACTGTAATTTGTGCATCGCATGATTTCATGGTGGCGATTATACGCCATTTATGAATCGTTCAGCTTACACTTTCTACCCCAACCGTGCAATTAGATGGATCCATGGTAGTAACGAAGCTATGCATCGTAAATTAATAGAAGTTGGCTGATTTTACCTCAGTTACAATTATACTAAACATGACACCGACCAGGACAACCATTTCATTTGTAATTTCATCGCGCGCAACGTATCCATTAACTACTAATCTTTATATAATGACGCCCTAATGAGAGAAACATCATCGTCTCGGAAGATGTCCCGACCATATTTGCTAGATTTCGAGCTTCCACGAGCAAGACGTAGGTACGCGGCCGTGTAATTCAACATTAAATGGTCGTTCCAATTACATATACATTAATACAGTAACATATAAATTAGTTGGACTTTGACCTAAACGGTATTTACAGGTGTATGGATTAATATTGCGACCATCGCAAACCATTTAACGAGAAAATATACCGGAGAACTTTGAAAAATCTCCCGAAGAACATGTTTCTTTTTTCACGCACGCTTTCTTCGTTGCATGCGATTAAACGAATACTGGACACGTTTTAGCATAACCGAGTTCTGGATAGTGGTCACCGACCTGCGTAGAAAGCGATCACGAATCGTGACCCTTATAATTGTGCAGCTTTTTCATTTCCTCGATCAAAGTATCAATTATGATCTCGTTATTTCATCCTCGCTAAAGAAAACTAATAGTTACGGTCTTCGTGGCATATTATTTTCTAGATAATAATAAATAATGGTTAATAAAATTGAAGGTTTTGATACAATACTGAACAACTCGTAAAATATCGGCAGTTCATTTCATGCCGCGCATCGTTTCAGATGCACACCAAACTGATCTTTCAATTAACTAAACACATTTTCCTTATGACACAATGTCTATTAAAATCGTCGTCCATTCGAATCAACTTCATTTGTTTTCTACGATCGAATTTTTATTTCGAGTGTCAAGTATTATAATAAATAGTTTTCGAATTCATGGAATACTGTTAGTGTGTATAGGTTTTGCACTAAAAGTTCTTTCGTATATCAAATTCACCTTTTGGCGAATAAGACAGATCAGAATTAACCGTTTTTTATTCGAGTTTTAAATTTAATATCAATTTTATTACAATTAATTATAAATATGTGAATTTAATTTGCAAGAGGATGATTTTCATGCGTAAATTAGCGTAAGTTCTGCATTTGACATGAACTTAAAATGGCGTAAAAATTGTTCAGCAGAAAACGAGTTGAAGAATTTAGATTGATCTGAAAATATTGAAAACTGAAAATGAGAAGTTATTGTAGCAGTTAAAAGAATTTCGAATAAAGGTTTTAGTGATTGTTAGCAAAAATGTTGTAGGGTGTATAATACTATTAGCGAAGTTATGAATGGGTGATCTCGCAGCAGATAATTTTATTTAGAAATCTTTTCCACATACTTCGAATGTTACACGATACCTTGTGTAACATCGTTTTTCTTCGTGTTTCTAAATATGTACTTCGTGACCGTGTTACTTTTGCAATATCTTAAGGGCGCGTTACATTTGTTTGCGCATTTAGACCAAGCGCGAAGGAATGTGCTGCTCCCGTGTAAGATCGTAGAGATATATTTACATATCCCGATAACATGTAATATAAGATAATTATTACGTAGGCATGTGACATTCAGCTCCGAACGCGACCGCATTGTTGGATCAACTGTATGTAGTCATATTGAATGCACACGCTTCGCGTTGCATAATCGAGAGGTTTCTATATAACAAGTGATAGCCAATAGTATCGATAACTTGTTGAACGGAAAAATATACGTGGAATCAAGAGTTTACTACAATAGAAGCATAAGTATAACAGCAATTTAATATGTATAGTTTCATATATAATTTTTTATAGATTGACAATTGAATGAAATATTTTATTTTATAAATTCAAATTGAAAATGTCATAGTAGAAATATAATTAATTAATTGAAAGACATAATGACAATGACAATTAAACCGTCTTTTTAAGAATTCTTTCGTAAATTGTTATTGCAACAGCATTACATACACTAACGAATCAGATACAATTTCGCGTATCTGTCATCTTTTTATTAATTGATCACATCTTTCGCTGATTCTACATAAATACTACATGCTATACATAATTTTGTTTACCATTACGCAGTTGCCGATGTTCGTACGTGAATTTTTAACAATTAAATTGAGAGGCAACTCTCTTTTGTTGATCACACAATTCATTGTAAAAAGCAAAACTAAAAATACTATTGGTTTTAGATATTAATCAATAATAATATAATAAAATGAAATTCTGCCTTGCACTTCAACAATTTGCGCATGCTATAATGTATAACAATCTGCAGTTTATTAACTGCATACTTGTTTTTTAAATGTCGATTTGAAGTTAATGGTCAAATTAAATTGGCTAAATGAAGGACAAATGAGGATTTAAACTCAAATTGCATATCTAATGAAGTAGGAAAGCGTTATTTTGAAATTTTTATTATAAATGAACACACGATATCGAAAACTGTTACAATATCCATTTTATGTTTTGAGACAATTATCGTGAATCTTAATTTCAAGTTATTATTACGAAAAAATGTTGACCATTATTTATCGGTCTTGTGTCGACTTGAAAATGGTTTCAGAATCGATGGTTGGATCAAAGAAGAGATATATAAAGCAGTGTCAAATTTTACACTGACGCATACCATAATACCCAGGATTGGTAGTTAGTAAACAAAAGCTTAGATTTGTTGCTTTCAACTTGCATTTTATTTTATATTGTAGCTAATATATTATAGTCAACTCTTTGAGGCAGAAAAGAAACAAGAATAGATAAAATAGCGGTCTTGGAACTGATATGGTAAGCAATACGGAAACCGCAATCAAAATAGATAATAGTTGGAGTTCTTCCGAGCAATTGTTCTGAATAAAAATTTAACGGGATATTTTAGTATGAAGTACGTGTTTTTTTTTTTAACTTTGTTAGGGAATTTTCTACAAAGAAACTATTATACCTTCAGCAGTTACATTGATAAAGTTTATTTGTACGTGTTTCAACGATGTTTTAAAGATTTTTTGAATAAAAAAAGTTAAAATTAGTGGCGTTGCATATTCTCAAACATAGTCGCTATTAAAAAAGATCGTCTCACGTTGTCCATGATTCCGGCAATTTTGCTTGTCTGAAGTAAAAATATGTGGAAGTTCCTTAATTAGTATGAATTTGGCTATAGTAAGTGCTAGAACAAACAAGTCGGTATTAAAAAAAAGTGGCGATATTTTAAAATACGATTATCGATTTTTGCATGTTTTGTTGAACTTCGAAGGCCTAAAAATAGAAAAAAATAAAAATTTTTGGTTGAATCCAGTAGGGACTATAGTCAAACATGTATTAAAAGCGTACTTAAAATTTTGAGTCAATTGATTCAGTAGGTTTTGAGATATCATGGACACTGTTCTGAAAAATACAGTTTCAAGAAAAATGCCTTTAAAGTTTAGTATATCGATAATGATATAAGGTCGTCGCATCATTCAAACAACGATAACTTCGTTAATTTCAGGAGTTTGCATGTAAGGTTCCAGATATGTATTTTTCAAACTATATCCTTTAAGAATAGTAAAAAGAAGAAAAATTGTTTTTTCAAAAATTCACACTAGAACATCCCGTTAAAGTAATGACAAGATACAGGAACGCGTTTTCAACAATTATTTTCGTTGCTCACTACAAAAACTATCGGTGCTACTATATAGCAATATTCTATAAACTGAGTTAGGAAATAACAGTCGTTAAATAAATTATAAGTACCTAAATGGCCTACATAGCGCGTAGTATGAATAGAAAACTAACGAATAGAAAGAGATTTATGATACGATAACAAAAGTTTTCGTGAAAATGAAATACACGAACATGTAATTGTAAAATATGTCAACAGCAACCAGCACGGCAAGAAATCGAACAACGGGTCGGTGTCTCCTGTGTCTCAGGAGGTCCTGTTTTCTGCAGGGTGAGTCTAGACAGAGGTGGATATGTTCCCGGCGAAACTATTGGCATTTCTGCGACCGTCAGCAATCGGAGCAAGGTATGTATCGCATTTCGATTCGATAGTTAATCGAAAGAATATCTAACATCGAAGCAGAACCGGCAATAATACGATACCATCGAATATCTTTTAAAACGTGAGTATATTTCACTGAATTCTCGCAATCGTGGGACAAGTTCATAATACTACGTGGTGCATAACTGTGACAACTACTGACCATCTGAATTCTTAGTTAGTCGTTTTTTGACATTGGAGTAGGAATGCGAAGAAATGAATCATAGATGATGAAACAATATGACAAACAGTAAACTTAAATCTCATTACAGTTCCCCTTTTATGTAAAATAACATAAACGAGAATCGTGTGTTTTTCAACCATTGCATTAACGACAGCACCAACGTTTATCGTACACGCTTAATCTAATTTAACCTATTGTTTGGCAAATTCAAAAATTTAGTATTTAAATAAATGTGGCATAATATAACCGTAAATACGAAGTCGGTCACAAAAGTATTGTGACACCAGTCTCGTCCGAAGTAACGAAAACCTATTATGTATTTTCACGATCCTTAATTGTTTACAGCTCTCGTAAAAATATTAACCGATATCGATGATATTTTCAGCATGTATATAAGTTACCGAAAAGAAGTTAAAAAGTATGAATTTTTTTTTCTTGCCACCTCAATTTTAATTTTCGCAAAAAATTTTTGGCGATGATTCATTAAACTAGATCCTCTAGCATTTCAAAAAGAATTCAAGTCATTTGATTCAACGTTTTAAAATTTATTCCGTGTTAAAAAATGTCCGAATATTTTCGTGACTGACTATAAATATTGATTTGAAATTTGGCAATGCCACGTGGAAAATATTTTACGAAGAATGTAGAATTGCAGCGTAAAAGGAGAAAGGAATTGACATTCGAGAAATTGCTCGTCGACTGAACGATCAAGTAAAGTTATTCTAAACATCTTACATGTCTCAGCGAATTCTAATCATGGTAAGAATAAAATGTGCTAACCAAAGAAGAAATCGAGTCCACATACCGAGCAAATAATTATAAAAACAGTTGGCATAGGGTTTCACAAGAAAATCTGAATTTTGTAGAACAACAATTAGAGTCTGTACCCGAAATTGTATCGTGTTATAAAATTGCGAGACTCGAGTACGCTCGAGAAAACTATGCATCGAGACTAAAGAAGCGGTAGTTAATTTTAGATCTTAAAATATTTCAACTTCAACTTATTTAATTTCTTTCATTGATGATCAGATAATTTTTTCGCATGAAAAGTAATTTATCCCGGTCAGACCTGATGGTTACAGTTCATATTGGCGAAACTTTCGAGAAAAGCCACGGCATTTTTGAAAAAATAATTTTGGCGGGTAGCCTCTCACGGTTTCAAGGGGCTTTTTGAATCAATGGAATATTGCGATTAGATTTTCCATAAATAGATTGGCAGTGAACTGTATAACCGAATTTTAGAAAATATTTTATTACTGTTTTTTCAAGATCATAATACGATTCATTGATTGTTTTAACAAGATAACACGGCTATACACACTAGTGGATAAACCATGGCGTGGTTTCAGACGAACCGTATTAACGTTATCAGATGGATAGTGTGTTTTTTTAGATCAGAATCCAGTGAAATACATATATCTGGGACATAATTTTGAGGGATGTTTATGCTGGAAATCGACAATTTCGAAATGTTTCATAGTTAAAAGATGCGATAATTAGAGCAAAGAACGAAGTTCGCTGAAAAATATTTTGGAAACTCATTGATATCTTGTCAGATAGAATTTTTTCACTGATAGCAAAACAGATGATCCATAAACTATTAAAATCTTTTTGTTTGACTTAAACTGATAGTGAGTGCTATAGTTTTGTGACGGTAAAAAGTAATTTGCATATTATATAAATAGTTTTCTTTCTATATATCTTTTTGTACTGATCGAAAATTTTTATGAAATCCTTTTGAACTTCACTGTTCGTGCTTTTCTTGCATTCTTACTCCAATATCCGAAACAATTAAAAGCTTAGATAGTGTACGTAGGCTATAATTGGAGACCGTACTACAATGCGCAATCAGCGAACATTTGAATAACGAAACACATTTTTCCAAAAATTGATTTCATGTCCAAAGTTATTACTCAAAATTGTCATCGATCGAATCACGGTAATCGTTGGAACCAGATTCAGTTTTCATCTCAATTTTGTGCAATGTAACAATACATACAATGCCTAATTATTCGAAATCAGCCAATAACGTATTATTGGAAAAAATATGGATGCTAAAGAGAGCGGTGCATTCAAGTGAAGACACCTAAGTGTGTTTCTTATTTACAGTCTCACGCGAAGACACTTACAGATATGATGGAGCATTATTTAATCAAAACACCACATTTCATTGATACTAAAAAGTTGGATATGTCATATGTGAGCAGCTATTGTTTCAAAACTTTATTGAGCAGTTTTATAAATTCGTACTTACAACCAAATGCGTTTATTATTATGTGCTTCGTTAACGATGACAATAGAAAACAGAATAGAACAAATATCTTATTCACTTTTTAGTATTCCTTGTTGAGATTTCAAAACGGTTACAATGCATTGTACGCTATAAGATAAAATTGATGTTACTTAAAGAGAATAATGTTTCTAACAAACAGTGTGATTAGTAGTCTATGGATTTTATACATTTATGGCAAAATTGAGTAGGTGCAATTTAATATAGTAAAAAGATTAAAGGGAATTTTTAAATATCAGTGTATTATTCTCAATCAATTAAAAGGATTAAAGAAAGAAATAACTTGCTATTTAGTTTCTCTATCTTGCAACTGATCTAGACAATTTTTGTTTTCCATAAAAATCCGCAGTATAGTGATTAGAATGAAAAATTTCCAACCTGGATTTGTCCTTTATTGTATACGTTTTTAATGAACTAACATTGTAAATTGAAAGTATTCATTTTGTATTACGTTGTGGCCAACAAGTAACGTAACTTTGTCTTAAGCAGTTTTTTGTGGGACCATAAGGTATAGAGATATTTAGGTATATTCATTCATTCATTCATTCATTCATTCATTCATTCATTCATTCATTCATTCATTCATTTATTCATTCTCAAAGGTTGTACTTTTCCATTTTTGACATGAGTGAGCTCGTTGATCTGTACAGTTCAATTCCACTTGTTTGAAGCAGCTGGTTACTAGCATTATTTTTAAACAATTTACAGCATTTGAGAACGGTTTGAGCTCTGTATTATTCGCTGAACTGTTGTAATTCTAAGATTTCTTTGTATGCTTTTGTATTTCTTTGACACCTAATGGTGCTATCGATGCAGAATCCCGGGCATACATTAAAATGGTTTCATTTCAGAAAATTGTTATTTTCCCGTAAAATAAAACCGCATTTGTTAAAATTTTTCCTAAAATTTTGAAAATTTTTATCAACGAAGAGTTTATGTTCTTTAAAGTATGTGTATTGATTGAGTTTACTTCAACATAAATTTCTTCTTTACGGCATTTTATATAAATGAACACTAAGCGGAGTCCATTATTATTAATATCGCACATTCAATCTTAACCATTTCAATCGAAATTTTCTTCTCATATCGTTTAATTTGCCTATTTAGTAAAGATCGACTTATAATTTTGTGGTTAATAGCTATTCTTGTCTAGCTTCGTTATTCTTAAATCGTTATGAATTATCTCCACGTCGATGAAGAAAGTCTCTTTATAAAAGAAGGAAAGTTTGTCGCGGAGTATGTTCATGAAACGCACGCACAGTGATGTCAGACAGACACGTATTATTCGATAGGTGACTATGAAATCGACTAAAGCATCCCTGACCGAGACGATTCAATACCTGTGCCGAGGTAAAGTCCTCGCGAGCGAAACTCGAGAGTTGGCGAGTGTTTCTAGAGGGAAAATTCGGCCTGGCGAGGGCGAGGAATGGTTGAACGAACAAATGTATGTTCCCCCGTTACCGCCTACCAATCTGCGAGGGTGTCACCTCATCAACGTTCTTTATCACGTTTACGTGAGTAAAAGCACTCATTCCACACTACACAGCTAAGATATTCACATAATAATTATGATTGCGCAGAGCATGACTAATACACTGCACTCTCTCCTTGCGTCGGCTTCTCCCGCGATCTTGAAGCGTCTCGAAGAAAACGCAGGATTTCTTTTACGTTATTTTGATCGTGAAAGTGTTATAATAGTAATCTCCGTTGCATTCCAGGAGATATGAAAGANAGTTTTTTGTGGGACCATAAGGTATAGAGATATTTAGGTATATTCATTCATTCATTCATTCATTCATTCATTCATTCATTCATTCATTCATTTATTCATTCTCAAAGGTTGTACTTTTCCATTTTTGACATGAGTGAGCTCGTTGATCTGTACAGTTCAATTCCACTTGTTTGAAGCAGCTGGTTACTAGCATTATTTTTAAACAATTTACAGCATTTGAGAACGGTTTGAGCTCTGTATTATTCGCTGAACTGTTGTAATTCTAAGATTTCTTTGTATGCTTTTGTATTTCTTTGACACCTAATGGTGCTATCGATGCAGAATCCCGGGCATACATTAAAATGGTTTCATTTCAGAAAATTGTTATTTTCCCGTAAAATAAAACCGCATTTGTTAAAATTTTTCCTAAAATTTTGAAAATTTTTATCAACGAAGAGTTTATGTTCTTTAAAGTATGTGTATTGATTGAGTTTACTTCAACATAAATTTCTTCTTTACGGCATTTTATATAAATGAACACTAAGCGGAGTCCATTATTATTAATATCGCACATTCAATCTTAACCATTTCAATCGAAATTTTCTTCTCATATCGTTTAATTTGCCTATTTAGTAAAGATCGACTTATAATTTTGTGGTTAATAGCTATTCTTGTCTAGCTTCGTTATTCTTAAATCGTTATGAATTATCTCCACGTCGATGAAGAAAGTCTCTTTATAAAAGAAGGAAAGTTTGTCGCGGAGTATGTTCATGAAACGCACGCACAGTGATGTCAGACAGACACGTATTATTCGATAGGTGACTATGAAATCGACTAAAGCATCCCTGACCGAGACGATTCAATACCTGTGCCGAGGTAAAGTCCTCGCGAGCGAAACTCGAGAGTTGGCGAGTGTTTCTAGAGGGAAAATTCGGCCTGGCGAGGGCGAGGAATGGTTGAACGAACAAATGTATGTTCCCCCGTTACCGCCTACCAATCTGCGAGGGTGTCACCTCATCAACGTTCTTTATCACGTTTACGTGAGTAAAAGCACTCATTCCACACTACACAGCTAAGATATTCACATAATAATTATGATTGCGCAGAGCATGACTAATACACTGCACTCTCTCCTTGCGTCGGCTTCTCCCGCGATCTTGAAGCGTCTCGAAGAAAACGCAGGATTTCTTTTACGTTATTTTGATCGTGAAAGTGTTATAATAGTAATCTCCGTTGCATTCCAGGAGATATGAAAGAACGTGTTGCAACAGTACGATCTAATTACGTTTAAATGCAGCTACTTAATTAGTAAATGAAACAGAATATGTAAAGAATATGAATGTAATACTTTCAGATATTTTGAAATGGAAGCGAAAAACTCAAGACTAAAGAATATTTTATTACACGGTTCTACTAATTTTGTTAGAATAATTCATTATCAACGTGAATGTGGAGGCCGTACTCCTCTATTACTCTTAATTTTGAGAATGACGATAATAATAACGATAATTAATTACAATTTTGATATATTTCATTAATGTCTATAAAAAAGCTAACGTATCTAGAAGGAATATCTAAATATGTTGTAAAATATTGATAAAGAAAATTATAAATGATCCTAACCATATGTAAGTCATATTATTGTCAAAAAAGTCCTGCGTTCGAATGTTAAACAGTATTTTTGCCATTTTGTATAAAAAAGTAATTAAACTTAGAAAGTGATCGTAAATTAAAATTTTGGGAGGTGCTTCTCGAACCCTTTGATAAAAATACTATTAAAAAGCTAAACCAACAAAAGAACAAATTATTGCGCGCGATTGAATGAACTTTCTATACACGAATAGCGTTGGTAGAAGTTAGAAATCACGTTCCGTTTTCAAAATACAAAGGAAGTAGTTTTGCAAGAGGCGTCGGATTGGCAGTGGTACTCAGCGCTGCGTTGGAGCGGCATTTGTATCACTTGTCAGAAGAAAATATTGTTGTACGTTAAAACATATTACATTTTTATTTGTTATTTTACTGTTAAAGAGATTCTAATGAAAAAATACAAAAATACAACAACATTCAGTAGTTCTATTAAACTGAGGATCACCACTATCAGCGTGACACACCTTGCACCTGTTTCGTTTGCACTTTGAAAATGGAATATAATTACGTTACGTCTGCCTACGCCAGAGCTCGAAATTAACCAGCACACAACTTGAGGATCGTGAGGACTACGTCTCCTGATTCTCGTCGCGCGTCTTGCTTCCCGCTGATCGCCTAAATACTACACACACACACACACACACGCGCGCGCGCGCGCGCGCGCACGCACACACGCACACACACACACGCACGCGCGCACACACACACACACACACACACACACACACACACACACACACACACACAAAGCAACAGGTGCTCCGACCCGAAAGAGACGATCATCGGGGAACGAGATGCCCGACGGGAGTCAAGAGGCGTAGCCCTCGCGATCTGAATGTTGCGTGCTGGTAAATTCCGAGCCCTAACCTATGCCATCAGTAGGTCAAAGGATCGTCCTTTCACGTCGAGTGATTAACGCTATTTCTACCGATCTTTTGTATTGTATACTTAAACTTAGAAAATAATTTTTAATTAGAATTTTGGAAGGTATTTGTTGACCCCTTTGGTAAAAACAGCGTTAAAATTTTCTTATGCATGTTTGACATATTTTGACTGTCGAGTCACCCATATGTGGATAACGGAATTATATAATATCTTGCTAATTTTATTAGAATCCGCAAAATGTAAGAATGTTGAAAAGTAATTGGTATTATGCAACTTAACTTTCCAATTTTAAAATTTGATTAAATGAAAGACTTTACTTTCATGGAACTTTTGAGATTGTTAAAAAAGAACTTTAACACAAAGTGTTAAAACTTTTGGAATAAATTGAAACATAACAATATTAATATATATAATAAATAATAATAAATATTACAATAATTGTTGTTTATTAGTATATAGGGTGTCCCTGAAAAGTATGTACAAGCGGACACCAGGTCATTTCTCATAAAAAAAAACATGAAAAAAATATAGGATAACTTTTTTTTGTTTAGGACTCAATTTTCGAGAAAATCGGAATTTAAAAATTCGCTCTGTATTACATATATACGCTCTTGCGGCTTAGATATGGTTCGTCGAGCAGAGTTGTGCAGAATTACAATTGAATTACTCAAGAAATTATAATTACAAAGTGATTCAATTACGTTCTAATTTGTAATTCAGATCGCTATTGAATGAAATTACAAAGCGATTCAATTAAATTGTAATTCGTAATTCAGATCGTCGTTCAATTCAATTACAAAGTTATTCAATTGCATTGTAACTCCGTAATTCATAGGAAAAACGACGCCGCGTTCATTCAATTGTTATACCTACACAACCATACACGCACATTCACTGTCATACCACTACATTCGTATACGCGCACAAGAGCGTATGTATAAAGCGAATTTTCAAACCCGATTTTCTTGAAAACTAACTTGAAAACTAAATCCCAAACAAAAAAAAGTCATTCCATATTTTTCTCATGTCTTTTCTATGAGAAATCACATGGTGCCTACTTGTATCTTTCAGGGACACCCTGAATATTTTCGTACTAATGATATTATATCAAACCGTATCGCCGTATTCAGAAAAAAAGCGCAAAACACCTTCAAAGTTCAAAATTTGCATTTTTTTTTCAAAACCGATTTTCTCAAAAACTATATGTGACCCACGAAAATCTACTAAACATGTTTACACAAAGTTACTGCACATTTACTTGGAATACGATGACCAGATAATTTTTACCCAGAGTTTGTAAATCGGCACCTAATTACTCAGACTTTAAAAAGAGTTTTTAGTTCTTGAAAGATTAATTGGTTTACAAGAAATATTTTCAAAAATATGTTTTGAAAAATTGATATAAAAAAAGTGAAAATGGTCATAAGTATTGTCAATTGTACAGATGTGAAAATGATCTGTCCTTCGAGGATTAAATAAATGAATAAGTACGTAAAATCTTGGGTCTCTCTTTGTGAAATTATAATATACATATCTGAAGGTACAACATATAAATTATAACTGAACTGCGTATTTTCATGCAAAAGAGATGTATTCTTTCTTTTCATGTTTTCAATAAATTGAAAATTTTTTTTAATTATTTAATTAAAATTAAATTCTTCTGATATCTTTATGGCTCTGTATTTCACTTGCACATTTTTCTATAAATACATAAAATTCGCAGTCCAATCATAACTATATCGCATATAACGAAATTAAGAGAAACATTTTATTCTTTTACAGTTTGTAATTAGCCCAAAGAGTTTGGATAAGGAAATCAAATTGCAAATACCAATAGTCCTAGCCACTTATCCTCTGAGGCAAGAAGGTGCTCCAGCGGGAACTGCACCGTCGAAACGAGGAGCACATTATCCGTCGACGTTGCCAATATTCCGGCCGTGGTTGGACGATAAAGCTTTCGAAATACAAGAGTAAACGAGTTTAATTAACTTTCACCAGCGTCCTTGATAGCTAAGATACAAACTTTTTGGATGAAGACACTCTGGGATCACACATTAATACGACGTATACAGTTTGAAAAATGTGAAGTGAAACTCCTTCGATAATATTAATACGCTTATAATGATACTTACTCTATAAAACGCAAGAAAAAATCGACTATTTATAGTTCTCCCCAAAAATGAAGACCGACTAAAAGTAATTAGAGATAGTTAAATACACTATTTTTAACATATTCCTTTTTTATATTTTTTTCAGATTTTTTAATATAATTCAATGAAATTATAAATTTTAATCGTTTCTACGAAATGACGTGATTAAAGTTTTGTAAACATTATATTATTTTAAAGAGATATTAAAAAACTATGTTGCTTTCTCGAACGTTAACGAAAGTTGGCGTTAACGAAAATTTGCGTGCAAGAAATTTTATATGTACCAAAAAAAAGTTCGAAGTTAGCGACGAATTTTGTTTAGAAATAGCTAAAATAATTGCTATCGTTAACAGGATTACTTTTGCACAGTAACGAATGTATAAAGTTAATATTTTTATTGTATAAATTAATTGAACATATTATATTGACAGAATTGCCATATTTATGTACAGTAAATATGACTCAACAGAAGAGTATAATATTATATGTGTATAAAAAACAATAGATATCATGACAATAAAAAAGATGCGTTAACAAGTTTCCATTATCAAGTTCCCATTTCTCCTTTCAATTTTTCCATAACTTTCTCTACTGTAGTGCCGCCAGATACTACGACGACTTTTTGTCGACTTCGAGATCCCTACAAAAAATTATATTTAGGTACATATTGTGATCTAAGAAAATGTAACCAATATAAAACGGAAATTAGACTAACTCTATCTAAGGAGACGTCTGACTTTCGCATGCCTAATACGGAAGCCAAGTATTTTACAAGTTCCGTATTTGCCTCGCCTTCGACAGGAGGTGCAGATATGGCGACACCCACGGCATCGTTTGAAATATCTACAAAGAAATGATCTTTTTTGATATCAAAGATGTAACTTCCTCAATCTTACTTTCTTAAATTACGAAATAATATTACCCGTTATATTATTATGCTTAGCTCCAGGCTTTGCTTGAATTTTTATGGTAACATTTCCGTCTTTATCTAGACTTACAGGTCCTTTAGATTCCTACCGAAAAATTACTTTATCACAAATGTATTTAGTAAATGTTAAAATATTTGAAAACATTTTAATACTATTCGTCTTTTTATAATACATAAAGCTGTAAAACTCCTTATATGATCGAAAAGAGTGTTTTGTATGAAACATCATCGTTAATCCTGTAATTTTTGTTCGATGTAAATAAAAGAATCTATATTAGATTAGAACTGGATATTTCAAAAGGCATCTAGTAAATTGCGAATATAATGTTGCCATTTTGATTATTCGCACATTCAGAAGCGACATCTAGTTGCATCGAGTATAAAGCGAAAGTGTACTATAGAAAATGTCATGTTATTTTCTGAATAGGTGATCAAACCTCGATCACGTTTTAAATTTTTATTCTCCGAATCAGATTTGGTAAGCTACTTTTTGTATTATCTACTAACCTCATTAACCGTTACTTTCTGAGTTTTTCCACTTTTCTTCGAGGTCTGTTTCGACATTTCACGGACACTTGTTAAATGCTGTAAAATTCTTTTATGTAGACACGTATTTCCAAAGTACCACGTCATTTATCATTTAGAAGTGACTTGTATTATATTTATGGTTTACTAACATTATATGAAATATATTCAGATTATTCTCTAACCTCTTTACTTGAGCTGACCAATACATCTGCGCACGTGTAGCAGAAATGCCAACCTTACACTATAGGGGAATTCGCGTAGCGCGCGCATTTAAATCGAATCGATAGGTTATCAGTGCTGTAGATGTAAACGCAAGTTATTTTATTGTTTACATACGAAAAGAAAATAATAAGTTATATATTGAAAGAATTAAATTCACATATTAACCATGATAAAATTTAGATCAACATGCCTAAGAAATTTGTCGGAGAAAATAGCAAAGCTATTGCTGCTAGAGCAAGGAAGGCAGCGGTGAAAGAAGCTGAAACTACGAGAAAAGCTTTGGAAGCAGAGGAAAAGGCATGGCAAGATGATGATAAACAATTGCTAAAGAAAAAACAAAGACAGGCAGGCATAATATTTAAATAATAATTACCACATTCTTTAATGCACATTATTTACAATTTCGTTAATTTCTTACTTACAGAAAGAACAAGAGAAAAAACGCCAGCAACAGTTAGAAAAGAAGGCAGAGGCGAAAGCTTTACTCGAGAAGGAAATGGCAAATATAAAAGTAGGTGGCAAACAACCTGCCGCGAAAATTACCAGAGCTGAAATTGTAGTTGCAACAGAAAAACGAAGCCAGGCAGCAATGAAAAAGAAAGAGGAGGAGAAACCAATCGAAGAAAACTTAAATAGATTGACAATTGAAGAGGAAACTGCACATGGTATAGATGAAGCCTTAACTATTTTAAGGTAAGAAATTATATTTATGACATAATTTTATTCATGTCATGAATTTTCCACCGTGAGAGTAAAGTTAACTATGTTGGTAATATTATCCGTTTTAGTACAAAGGATTCAGAAATTGATCGTCATCCAGAGAAACGCGTAAAAGCGGCGTACGCCAGTTTTGAAGAAAAGATGATGCCTATTATTAAAGAACAAAATCCAACGTTAAGGTTAAGTCAATTAAAACAAATACTAAAGAAGGAATGGATGAAGTCCCCGGAAAATCCACTTAATCAAAAATTAATGTTGAATCGCTGATAATACTCAATTGTGACAACACAAACGTACATAACGACTGAATAGATGGTTAACAGGAATACATGGAATAAGACTTATAAATATAATCATGAATAAATCAAATGTGTCTGTACACAATTTTATTGTAAACGAATAAGTTATACTCCAGTAGAATAGAGAAAATCACATTGTATAAATCATCTTTGGTATAACTTATACGCTACCACATAGCCTCTAGATCGTATTTTACAACTTCATTTACAAACCAACCGTCGTTAAGGCCGCGTAATGTTGAACAGTCGATATAACAACCGTGTACACGTTTTGGCACAGTTATCATGTGAACTAATGAAATATGTTTCAAAATGTCAATAATCGCCTGCAGCTATTTCTCCGTCTCTCGCAACGTTATAGAAAAAGTTTCGTAAAAAATAGTTATAAAAAGATTGGTTACAGCATTACAATCGTATAAAGTAGTATCTATACAAACGAATTTTCACCAATATAAAACTAGATTATATACAGTAGGTTCTAATCTTTGTCTCGATGCATTAAATTTGCCGAAGCAATTTAAACATAAGGCACCATATTTTTTTCGTTAAAATGTACAATGAGTCGAATACCCGTACAGTGAACTTGAATCAAATATAATCTTATTATGTAATAACATGTTTTATAAAAAATGTCACGAACCTAACTATATTACCGCTACCATTTTTTATTTTTCCATAAATCTATAAAACAATGTATCATATGATTCAATTGGTCCGGGCAGTCAGTCATAGGCGTATGGCCGGCTGATGGTATCGCCTCCAGAAAAGCTTTCAGCATGGTCTGAAAAATTTTAAAAGAAAACTACAATTAGCATATTCTATCGAGAATCGCAGCGTGAAACATGTAAATGAAATCACATCTTTGTCATTTACGATCATGAAAATAATTCTCCAAATAAAATTGATTTTTCTCAATATCATTTTTTTAGAGACGATTTGAAATCCATAAACGCGTTCTTTTTCAATAAAATGTTATTTTGAATACTTACACTATTTGATGCACTTTGCGACCCACAATGAACGCAAATTTAAATATTTCCAAAAAATACTCGCTTCTAAAAAGTCTATAATCCCATTGGAAAAACGTCAATAATTCCTTTCTCCTTTTACGCTGAAATTCTTCTTCTCCCATCAAATATTTTTCACGCGTTATTGTTAAATTTCAAATTTATATTAATGTAGACCACGGAAATATTCGGACATTTTTTAATACAGAATAAATTTTAAAACATTAAACCAAATGACTTGAATTTTTTAAATTGCTAGAGAGACTCTAGTTTACTAAACAATCACCGAAAAAATTTTGCAAAAATTAAAATTGAAATGGCAAGAAAGACAAAAAAAGGTATATTTTTTAACTTTTTTCTTTGAACGCATAATTTAATTTTAAACATTGTTGTAAAAATTTCATCGAAATCAGTTAACGTTTTTATAATCTCTAAATAATTAAAGATTATGGAAATAACAGGTTTCTGTGTTATACTTCGGTACACTGGTGTCCCAATATGTTTATGTCCGACTTGAACCATTTATTTAAGTATGAATGTAATGATCGAGAAACACGCTTGCAATCACACATTGTTTTATATAAAAGGACAACTTCAATGAAATCTAATCCAAAGTTCATTGTTTCTCGCACTGTTCTTTTGTTTTTGCATTCAATTCATCACCAAGTGGCGAATGATATTGAAAAAATGTGAAACAGATGAAATTCAAATTAAAAAATAATATACTTAAAAACATACCCGTTCCATTTGGCATTCCTGCACCAGTGACACTTTATTGTCCCTTAAACCATGTATAAGAAGCGTCGGCGTGCATATCCTTCTATGGAAAACGTAGTCACCATCCGGCCAAATCATGCCGTCCAAAACATATTTCATGTGCGAGGGCCATTGTTCCGGTGGCTCGGGGCCACAGTAAGGGTGTTGTCGGCCCCTCGCTGAATATAATATGTCTCTGTGAAGGCCACACATTAGGAAAGGTGCGAGGATCGCTCTGAGGCAACAGTGACCGGCGCTTTCGGTGCTCGGCGCTGCTAAAGGAGTTGGTCCACCTCCGGATATTAAGACTAGCTGATGTATATTACTATCGTATTTACAGGCCAAGGCGGCAGCAAAACTGCATCTGTGACAAACGAAATTAGCAAAATCTTAAACTTTGTCACTGTACGGTACAGCAATATTCAATATGTATTCAACTCGAGGGCTATACGTATTGACATGGATTTCTTCGTGTTGTAGTTACAATAAAGGTTCTTCGTGATACGCGTTATACCGGATGAGTCATGTAACTCTTTCCTAATTTCTCTTCCTGTTGTATAAAAAAAAAGGATATTTGAATTTTAGTGTCTTTTTTAGAACATCTTTAGAGCATTCAGACTGAAGGTCGTATTTTTGAACGCCAACTTTAGATAGGTGAGTGCCAAAACTATGCATCGCTAAAATTCAAATATCTTCTAAACCAATGATAGACAATATGTATTCGAAGTCAGAAGGTATGATTGAAACAATTTTTCGAATACTATAAGTGGGCGAAAATTGCTCACAAAGGTGGGTCTGTATCATCGTCAGCCCATCGTATCATTGACTTTCGTATAGTTGGGGTGACGTTCGGTACTAGTTCGGATAATAAGGGCTCAGCTAGGAGTTCTAAAACCGGGCATTGACAAAAATTTCGTTCGCGTAAATAGAGTTCAGAAAAAGCTCTACTCTAACATAATAATGGAAGTTTCTTGTAAAGGCTGAGTTCGCAAATTTCTAAAAGGAACTAAGAGCGTTTCAAAATCAATCAACCCTCGGCCTGCCAATCCTGGGTCACTCTAAAGTACGTAAACAATGTTACGCTCGCTAAACGCAGTTGCTGCAAGTATTCAGCATAGAGGCGAACAGGGCAGTCTTGTATTAGAAAACTACTATTGTGTGTATACATTGTGAAAATGATGAATAAAAAAATAATTTTCCTGCATTTTGCATTCATTTTTTTATCTTACCTGTCCTTTATATGTATAATAATTGGACTACGGATTTTATGCATTTATGACAAAAATGAGCAGACCAAATGAAAAATAGCAAAATCATTTAAACAATTTGAAGATATTATTGCATTGCTGTCTACTCACCAATATTATTAAGAAAAGGAATAAATTGTTATGCAGTTCCTACATCTTGCAATTAATGAGGACTATTTTTATCTTGCATAAAGATCCGCACAGTCTGATAATAATACATAATTTTCACAGAAAAACTAACTAAGTCCAAAAATACCCAGTGTTAGTTTCCTGCGTCCTGGTGGAAGGTCGTCCTTCCGAGGACTAATTGCTTTCCCCGAAGTTTACGTACATCGTGGCCAAGTTCGCAAGAGTTATTCTCATTGTTAATCGTTTCACAACATCACAGAGTAATAAACGCGTCATTTGCAATCAAGTTTACATTTTGTTTGTAATTTTTTACATTCATTCATTTCATCATTTGTATGCGAACTTATATAAATTACTTCAACGAGATAAAAATATATTTTTGTTTTCCATGTCAATGTGTTTATATAATTTAAAACAAACGATAAAACAATTTTAAAAAGAGATTTGGAATGCAACCTCTTTTCGTTATTAAATTCTAGCGCGGCAATTCCGTGATCAACGGTATCACGGAATTTTCTTGGAACGAAATATTTTCTGTACACTATTACGAGTTAAGGGGTATCTATATTTAATAAATTCAATTTAATATAATAGCATACACCATGTGTTCGTCTTAACGTTATAGGGCAAGAGATTAATTTCTCTTCTAGACAACCAAGTATGTAATTTTCCTACAATTCATACCAAGGTGTTAGAACGTTCGCCACATTCTCAGGTAAATACCACAATCCGGGTAGGACATGTGTTAATTTTTGTAATGCAATCGCGTAACGGCTACTGAACTATACGTGGTTTGTGAACTTAACCAACTGCCTACGTATGCATATCGTGTTGCAATGTCGCGCGAAGAATTAATGCAACTCTCCTCATTGTTACGGCATCGCTTCGCGTAGGTCGCGATTACCGCACAAGAGTTAGCGACTATTGGTGGTATACACAATAAACTCGAAGACTTTTCCCAATATTCACGTATCAGCTGTTTCAGATTCGTTTGTTATCTTTGACAGACAAATATTTAAGCAACACTGTTTCAATTACTCGCTGATGATATTCTTTATTTCTACCATCATCTTTGTCATCGTCGAGTTCAATCGACTCGTCGATTCAGTATAGGAAACTCCTTCTCTTCTGTAGAATCGTGTAGGATTATGTATGACGTTGGGTCGGTAAGTGTTTGCGTTGCATTTTGCTTCCAGGCTGCGGCATATGTCATGCAGCCCTTGCAGTTCGTTGGCTGATTCTCATCACAGTTGAGACACTTTACGTGCTTGTCCCAGATTTTCCTTCTCCGGTCGACTGTATGATAGTATCCCGCACACTTTACACATCTTGCTTATCTGGAGCAATATTTTTCTGCGTGGCCGTATCTTTGGCATCTTTTACATTGATCTACTTCCTTTCTCATGCGTGGTGGTTCAACTGCAATTTTGATATCTTGCAATTTTTTAACGGTACAGATTTCCTTGTTGCTCTGGTTAGATATTACATCAGATTTGGCTCATTCTTTGCGACTCGAACGCCAAACACATTTTTTAGAGTGCTAGAACGTCAAATCCCCAGTGTAATATCCTGTTAGAAGCTATATATATATAAACAAACTAAACCTCAACGTGGTTGCTACTGGCGAGCTCACATATTGGCACACGCACATAAAGTGCAGCACCGACTTTTTGGACTTCTTCGTAACGAAGGGAATGAGCGAAGGATTATTCACCATCCACTCTTGCTTCGACTTATAGTTATACAGTTATTAATTTATAGTACATATCTAGTATCAAAAACTCCTAATACGTTTCTTCACAATGGGCCTTCGTTTTCGAGACATTCTGTACGCACATAGTAAATGAATCATTTAACACTCTTTAACAGAACAAGTACAGTAATGTCTCTCTTCTCGGCGCAACTTGAGTATGCCAATCCCGGCGCCGAGATATTGCTACGGCCCTGTAATTTATCGATTTTCTCGCTATGCTAAAGTTCGATGGTGTTGGTGAACACGTGTGCTGCGGCACGCGTCGCACTGTTCGACTCGAATTTCCGGAAGACAACTCGTAATGCAATTACATAACTTTTTTTAATTTTAACATTTTAACACTGATCTTTTTTTTAACATATTGCTGACAGTTTTCCGATTAAAATGAGACCAAACACGATATAGTTTGGACAGATATTTCTGTCGACAAAATCAAAGACGATAGACGTTGCACGTAATTTACTGCCAAGATGNGCCAATCCCGGCGCCGAGATATTGCTACGGCCCTGTAATTTATCGATTTTCTCGCTATGCTAAAATTCGATGGCGTTGGTGAACACACGTAGGCTCGTCCTCAAAATGATGTCGCTTCTCCCGTCCCAGCAAATTTCAAATATGGAACTCTTCATTCACGGCCGTCTTCGTTTCCTTCTGCCTTCCATCCGTGTAAAGCTTTCCTAGTCCCGGTGTCTAACGTAGGCTTGAATAGCACAACTTTGGTGATACAGTAATGTCTCTCTAATTGATGCCCAGATTGGCCACAAAAATGGGAAATTTATAATATAGTTATAAATTGTCCGCAATTATAAAAACAAGCCGCAAGGCTCGAATAATCGTATCTCCTCTTCCCAAATTATCCATTTTAGTGGACAATCTGAGCGTCAGTAAGGGAGACATTACTGTATTTTCTTTCGAAAAACATATGAACATACTTTCTTTGACCTTGCCTTGAATATTTCATATGTTAAAAATCGGTTTTTGTAATGCTTTTTTTCGCAAATAAAATAAGTTACATATTACGTATAATGAATAAGAATGGTCTAAAGCATGTCGTGTTTGGTATCATTTTAATTGGAAAAATGTGACCAATGTATTAAAAAAATTTTCATGTACAAAAAATTAGAAATAAAAAAGTTAAGTCATCGTTTTTATTCTATCATTACAATGTTGTAGACCGGCTGTCTCCGATGCTGACCGCTGCCTTACATACATAGTATACAACATAGTTTCGCTCGACTCGAGTTTCGTTCTCTCTCTCTCTCTCTCTCACGAGGTGTCGGCAACAATAAAGGCGAGCCGTGAGGCTCGAAGAAATCAATCCTGCTTACTACTCTCGACACTTTAGAATTCGGTCCCGGCGACAGATAGGGAGACATTACTGTAGTGAGTAAGTCGATGGAGCAATTGACTAGAAAGCTGTAGATAGTAGGTAAAAAAAAAAAGAAAAGAAAGAAAAAAATTATAACAACGACGAAATTCGAATCTATTACCTACAGCTTTCTACTTAACCGCCCTATCGACTTATCTACAATTTGTTCTGCTGAAGTGTTAAATAATTCATTTACTAGGTGTGTACAAAGCTTTAAATAAAAATATCTCGAAAACGAAGGTCTATTATGAAGAAACGTATTAGGATTTTTTGATACTGTCACCTTGCAAGCACCCGTTAAAATCGAAGTCGGACAATCGAGGTCCTTCTCTTGTTAGTAATTATTAACGAGAAGTTTTTAGTTTGAAAGAGAATCTTGCATGTGATTACGTGTATTCTAATCGCCCATTTTAAACTGAACGTATGAATCACTAGGAAAAAACGTCGAGATACCATATTAAGATGTTTATGTCACTTCGTCGTTTAAATTCTTTAGAAATTACGGAAGCATGGAATGTATGCGATATAATTAGAAATCAGACGGAAATGTTGATCACTATGCAATGATGCAATAACCAAGTAGCTATATCGGGAAAACCGAAAGTATTCACTATTACGTCTTGCCTTAACATATTTAACCACGCTCATAAAGTCGTGGATATCGTCATAAAATTTCTTTACATCCCTTTAAAACTTTAAACCAAATAGGGGAGACGTCCCAATTTGTAATCAAATTTCTTTTCCCCGTAATAAGAACAAAGAAATAAGAAATATTTAAAATGGCGATAATTTGCGAGTCGTTACAAACGCCAGGATTTGCCTTAATTGTATTTTGAAAATAACTGCAGAGTTAATCATCGATGAATAATTCACTGTGAATACAGAATATTTGATTTATTTCTTTGTTCCGATTAAGGGAAAAGAAATTTAAATGATAAAATCGGGTAAAAATTGATTAATCACTCTGATCCATCCAAAAAGTCTCAAGAATTTAGATATTAAATGCGATTTCATATATTATCCGTTCTGTCAACCAAACGCGTGCAGCTAATTGCACACGTATCCACCTATCCAAACGTCAAGGAATTTGTAATGTTCAGATATTCGATAAGGCATAGTCTCGCTCGTAACCCGCAATTACGATACACGAGATGCTTTTAAATAGCCGAAGATAAGCTACGCGATCGCATGCGAAGTTTTTGCTAGTCAAACTTAAATAACTCTGTAATGATAAAAGGCGTGAGTCATGGACATTTTCAAACAATGTAAACAATTTTCTGTAATATCATTGTCACTATTAGTTATTTGTTTTGAATTCACGATGAGATCCTTTAATTTTAAATAAAAATTGTTCGTTATAATTGGTCTATGCATTTTTATGTATAATCAGATTTTTCGAAAATATGCTATAAAAATAAAACTTCGTATTTCGCTTCTTATTCGATTCTTGTGCACCGCCACTCTATACTAGAATCATGATTGTTGAAACTAATTGTTTGGACTATTTTATAAATATTGTTAATGGAGAAAAATTTAGTAATTGTTTTCTTAATACTTTCAAGGTTTCCGAAGTTGACGACTAAGTTCTTCTTTTTCACATTAATTCGTTAATGCTAAATACATAATAATGCAAAACGTCAGCTACCAAAAAAAATATTGATTTATATGAAAAAGGAGGAAAATGGGTAAAATGTAAACGTTACGTATAAATACACATTTGTCTGCGTCGCTAATTTAGCGGTAATTGAAATCTCCATTCTGCAATCCATAGATCAGTGTTGTGATAGATATTTTACTAATTTTTCAAACTGTTGCTTATATAATACTACCTTCTTTTGTTTACCAGAGCATAACGTGCTTTCAATAGAGTTACCGAACTTTTGGCATTACTTAACCCCAGTTACAGCGTGTGTAGAAGGTATAGTACATCTCACACTCAGATTTTATTACCTCCCATTGCTGCTCTTATGCGACAATCAATCATGTCCTATAGTATTGTACTTATCGTGATCGCTGCTTTTATACGATACAAAACTGCTTAATTTTCAACGTTATAACGTATTTTTAATTTAAACATATCTTTTGTAAAAATTGAACAACAAAAGAACATGAATATAAAAAATGCTATTCATTAGTGAAACGAAAAATGTGTTTTTCACGAGTGAAAGCTCATACGAGTGACTGCTATAATAATAAGAATAGTTAACATATTAACTGGCACAGTCACGTCCATAAAAGACCCACAAAATCAAAACGGTTGTTTTAATGGCACAGGCCCACACTGATTTTGGTGTTAAATATTTCAAATTTGATTTTATGCTGCTCGGTTCCCTATTTTAGCTCTAGTCAACAAGACATTAAATAAATAAAATTTTAACATATATATAATTATTACTTTATTTTACCTAAAGAAAATGTTTACGCGATTTTCTAGAGTAAGTTTTGCTCGACGCAAATGTTCTCTCAGTGTATACAATAAAGTCTTCCCTAATTAACGAAAATGGATAATTTGGGGAGAGATGATTATTCAAGACTTGCGGCTCGTTTTTATAGTTACCGACTGTCAACAACTATAAAGACGTATCTCCTCTTCTCAAATTGTTCATTTTTGTTCACAATCTGAGCGTCAATTGGGGAGAATTTACTGTATTTTGCACACGGAGAAACCGATCTATGAGAAGCCAGTCGGGGCTAGCGTTTTCATTTTGTTGATAGAAATCAAGTACTATTTTTTAAAAATGTATAGCACTTTTCAACTTATCTACAACAAATGTAGTTTCTGAGTATTTAGACTGCTTAACCAGTCGAACTAAAAATGTGACTTAGCTATATTAAGAGATTTCACAATTGATTTTACTGAATATTCTTCCTATTTTATTTTCTCTATCACATTTCATATTTTATTGGTATTAACAAAGTTTCATTTTTCAGGTAATGTATTTGAACTGAAAGAGAATAACAAAATAGAGCTTTTTTAAACAATGTTTTAAACAGCTTTTTAAACAGATTTTTTAACACATTTCAGAATTACAGTAAAATTTTCAAAGGTACAGTTACCGAAGGAATGTCCCTCTATATTAACAAATAAATTAGAGACCTAAACAATAATTAGAATAATATTTATGAAAAGACAACGAACTGTATTGTTCGTCAAGAAATATTTGTTGAAATACGGTAGAAAAGAAATTGTAATAACGATAATACGAAAAACGTTTCGAGAAATTGACGAAAATTGTACTTTAACTGTCGACAAAATTCAATCGCGTATTACCACTATGTTTGATACGATAACGATTCGTTGCTGCAAAACTTTTCAGAATATTTACAATGTCCATTTCAATACGTGTCCCTTTCGTAACACCTGTCGCCTACATACGCATGCATATATGTAAATAAAAGTTTGATTCAAATACCGGTAAAAGATAAAAATCGAAAATAATAAACGAAAGCAGAGAAAAGTGTACATACCCGTAATTGTGCGCAACTAGGACGCACTTCTGTCCAGGCTTGAAGGCGTAATTGCATAGGATCGCGTCAAGATCCTTTAGGAGTTTGTTAAAGTGATAATCTCTGGACCGACTAGGTGCCGAACTCATGCCATGTCCCAGCATATCCGGAGCGATGCAAGGGTAGCCCAGAGCGGAGAAATAACGAAGCTGATGCTCGAAGATCTCCGCGGATGAGCCGAATCCGTGAATGAACACGATCATGGGTTTCCGGTTTCTCCTAAAGGTGACCAAATCACGGGGATTCTGTTCGTAGCCGGTGTCCGGCCACATCTTTTTGTAATCTTCGAGCTCGATGGAAGACACTTCCTTCTTAAGCTGTAACGGCGGCGGTTTTTCGTTCCCGTTGCTCCTCACCGTGGACTCGTTCGACTCGTCCGGACTCACGCACAACTTTTCCCAAAGCTTCGACATCGCGTTGCCCTTTTTGTGTCTCAAGGACGGCTCGTTGGCGTTGTCCTTGAATTCCAGCCGCAAATTCTCGAAACTGGACTCGCTAACAATTTCCTCTAGCTCCTTGAGATCCACCGCTCGTTCTCTACCCTCAAGATTATCCGTCGAGATATCGATTCCCCCGGCAGTTTGAACGCTCGGATCCTGCGGCTCGCCGCTTTCCGCATCATTCTTCCCAGTGACCTCCGATCCCTCGGTGCCTCCATCGTTGCTCAGCTGCTTGCCACTTCTCGGAATCACCTCCTCGTCCGTTCTCTTTGTCGGCTGGCCCCGAGGATCGTCGTCCTGGCCACCTGTGCTGCACAAATCCTCCCAACTGTTCCTCAGAGGCAACGATCTGCCGAGTTTCTCATCGATGATCTTCAGCAAGGACTGCTCCAGGCTGGGCTCCTGATCCGGCTGGAACTCGATCGTCTCGACGCTGTTTATCCCTGAATCGATGCAATCCAATTGCTCCAAGGTGACTTCCGTGCCGGCCGATCGACGCAAGTAGAAGTCCAAGGAGTCTGGATCGATCGTGGAACCGATGAACCCGCGATTCACATATCCCTCCTCCTCGTTACTCGATATTTCACTCTTGCATTCGGATTCTTTCTGCTTCTCGTCGATCGTATCTGGATGGAAGGAGAAGCTGATATCGTTGAACGTTTCCTCGTTACCGGTGTACCTTTCGCTCGTAAATTTTCCATTATCCGAGGTCCCTCTAGTTTCGTCCGATCGCGGCTGCGAGTCCTTGGGTTTCGAATCCGATAAGTCCTTCGTGATACAGCTTTCAGCGCCGGCGATGTATTTCACAGTGTCGTCGAGAATCTCTTCGAGAAGCACGTTGATATACTTCTCTAAATCCTTGACAATCTTATTTTTGATCGTTTGCTCATCCACCTGTTGATCGCTTAGGATCGTCTCCTCGATGCTCGTTGCGTCGTTCCCATCTGCTTTTGGTTGTTCATTCTCAGGTACTTTCAACCTCTGCAAATTCATCGAGACCCTCTGCTCCAATTCCTCGATCGCCCGCTCGTTTTTGTCGGCTTCACAGAGGCTCGTTCTAATTCTATTTAACTCCGCAGATATGATTTGTTCTTCGGTGGTGCTCAAGCGCCGGGACTGTCGAAACGAACACCTACAGTTACCAGACGAATGCGGTCTTCGGGACCAACGGGTGAAGAAATTGTCGGCAACCGATTCGGGCCTATCGTTGGTGTTCTCGTAAAACCAACCGCTCTTCAAGGTCGGCCTCAACACTCGCAAGGTTCGACGTGGTCCAACTATGAAAAAGTCGCAGTCGGGAAACTCCACTTTGCCTGGGCCCACTCGATTTCGGTTTCTCCAGTACTCGAAGAATTTCGCGTACCAGGGTGCCCCTGGTACCGCTTCGTCTATCTCCGCGGCCATATTTAGAGAACGATTCGCAACTTTTAACGACCATAAAGAACGATCGTTCCGAAGGTATTTATCAGCGGACCCGGTACTCTGCACACTTCTCTGTTGAAAGAAATAGAGAAAATTCCTTGGTGACGAGTGTTCATCGAGACAAACAAAAGTTTCGAATCTTCCTTCTTTACAGAACTGCCGAGTTTCAAACTTCTGTCTGCCTACAAACTGCTGTGCAACAATCCAAGAACGTCGAGAAGAATTTTAATGACTACAGATTCTAGTTCTTCCAAACCTAAGGAAACGACCTACCCAAGTTTTCCGTGTAATTCTTCCAATTCAACCGATTTGGAAGCTTCTCGTGCGGTACGAAGAATATTTTGTAAAAGCATTCCGACCGTACGCAGTCAAACAAATATGTGTCATTCTTAAACGTGAAAGTAATCATCGGCAATCGCTTCGATGCGTATTTGTTGAAAGATACGTGTAGAAATAGAATGTTATCTTTCTGTTCTTATTTCCATTTTTGCACACGGTCGTCGAAAGTGTTGTCCATTAACGTGTCATTGCTTCCAGCATATTTGCACAATTTCGTTTCACCGACTGCGTTCCACTGGAGTGCATTCGTAGCCTTGCAACACTTTTCCTGCAGTCCCCGCAATCGTTGCTTGGTCAGACGCGATTTCCCCGTGAAATACGAAAGTAACATTTCGTGTGGCTCCCTGTATTAAGTAGTTCACGGAACGGCGAATCACCGATGATCGTTCCACTGTTGACGCATCTAATTGCTATCTTCGCCACTTCACCTACGGAGAACAAGTTTAGTTTGAATTTGTTCACATCGCTGGACACTCACAATTCTCAATAATAGGTAGTATGTGTATAAATCTACAGATTTTAATTAATAATAAATTGATGGTTAGTATATATATAGGGTACAATAAAACAAGACATTGTATTTCGAGCGAAAATTTCCTATTTTCGTTACAGTTTTCGCTCGAACGTGTTGTCAACAGTTGTTAATGATTTTTAAATCATCAAAGCACGAAGATCGATCAAAAGACAATTTTTTCATATAAAAGACAGTCTTTATCTTTTGAAAATGTGTAAACTATAGTCAGAGTTGGCCAAATTTTATTTCAAATAATAAATAGCAAGTCGGAAATTAAATTAATATTTAATTTTCAAATAATAATTACATTTTTTATTTAATTATTATTTCTTACTTGAAAATAAAATGTTATTTTTATTTGAACTTTCGGGGAAATACAAATAAAAAATAATTTTTGCTTCAACTTTCGTCTGTTGTATATTATATCATGTTATCTTCCATTCGAATTTTGAGATGAAAACCAAATAATAAATAGTTTTTGTTTATTTTTCGTATGTCTTATAATAATTATGGCTGTACTTCCGAGAGAGATCTGTCGCCGATCAAGGTGGCATTATGAGAGCGTATAGGAAGGTGGGAGAAGAGCTTCAGGAATTTAGTAGTTTTCAAGATGGGGTAGATGTTCTAGTTACCGAAGGACACCCTTGTTGCAGGCAAATGGTCCACATGTATGTAAATATCTCTGAAATCAGGCTCTCTCTCTCTCTGTTCCGTATAAAATAGATATCTCTTTTAGAAGTTCACCCGTTATAGTGGCCGCCGGCAAAAGTGGGGGGCCCCTGCTGACCCACACACCGCGATGAAGCGTAGGTATACACAGGATTCATTGTAATAGTAGCTTAGATTTTTAATTAATATCTTGAAAACTACTAAATGCCCGAAGCTAATATTTTATATTTGAGATCCTTCCACCCCCCCCCCCCCTCTCACCCTTCCAAATGCCAACTTGATCGACGGCAGGTCTCTTTTGGAAGTTTGCCTGTAAATATTAATTTTCATTTATTATTATTCGAGCACTTGAGTCTTTCTTCGTGAACCCAATAATTATCGCCTAGAGCGATGACATATGCTTGACTCTTTGTGCCGAATAAATAATAAATACATAATAAGTAATTAAACGATAATTGATAAGTAACAATTGAAATTATATTTATAAATAACAAATAAATTTTATTCAAATAACAAATTTACAAATAACAAATGATATTTCATTGAAATAATCATTTCAATGAACATTTACTTAAATGATGCCCAACACTAACTGTAATTCTACTGAAAAATAAAACTAATAGCACCAATGTGTACAACAAGCCTCCTAATTTATGCTTTTACTAAATTGTAGTAAGCAGTGCTCACAATGTCAATTTTTCGTGAAATTAGTAATGATTAACTAAATGATGATAGCGATAATCAAAGGTTTTTCGACCATCCCTATTTAGAATATCTTATCTCGTCAGTAAGTATGTATAATTTTTTGTCGTTTCTTCTTTCGCTACGCTTATAATTTTACAATGTTAACAATATAATCCCTTTATCCAGCTGTCAATGAAGATCTTTGTTTCAGTTTTATTCGTGTAATATTCTCACATGTCTGGACTATACGACGAGCGTTTATAGGATTAGTCTCAATTCCAACTTTCCGAGAAATTTCTCGTGACACGAGGCAAGAATTTGATGCAGCACGCAAAATGTAGCACCTTTTTTCATGATTAGAAACCGTGGAGAGTCTTTTTTGTGTCAAAATTACCCACATCATTCAAGAAATTGTAAATAACTTTCGACTTTACTTCGAAGACTTTGTAATTTCTGAAATTGATAAATTTTGTTTTCGTAACTCCAAAACCGGTTGTATTTCTTCTTTATTTAACACTGTTTTGACCAAAAGGATCAAGTCTAAAGATACCTTTTAAAATTCTAATTTAACACTATTTTTTACCAAAATAGTCAAAAGATACCTTTTAAAATTTTAATGTGTCACTATTAATAATGTATCACCTTATAAGAGCGAATATTTATATTGCTTCGAAAGTCGACTGTCTGCATAAAAACTATTACTGTATGACTCGGAATCCGAAAAATATTAAAAATCCAAGAAACATCCTTGATAGACAAGCCTAAGTTAAATTTCAACGTTTGTAATTAAATATCATGTAACTAAAAGCTAATGTTTGTTTACTATTTATCACATATGGAAATCTATGGACACGTGTGTTATCTTTTCGTGCAAGAAAGAGCAACTCTTTAAAAAACGAGTTTCTGAAAGAAAAAATAATTTTCTATTGTGTTTTGCAATCGAAACAGAACATTTTTATTTTCCTTACAAATTCATAGTCCACATATTGTCTTATATCTTCCAATGTTTTTTTCTGCTTGCATACATTTTTATTGAGTTCTTTATACCGTCGTGTCATATTAACATTTAAATAAATTAGTCGAGTAATTGTTAATAATTTAGATCAAATATACAAAGTTTTCGAAAAATTATTTCACATTTCATGAAACTCATCAGAGCGCATATAATAACACTTCTTTCGAAGAAATACAATTGCTATAATTATCTACAAGAAATAGACCAATTGTTACGTTGCATTTTAATTTCGTTTCGCGGAATAGAATCAAATATTTTTTGAGCAAAATTTCAAGGTAGCATTTATTGCTTTTAAATTGTGTACAGTTTTTGTTAACATTGTGTAATAAGCAACGGTGAGACGACATTCAATAATCTTATCTAAATTGAATAAGACGTGAAATGTGCTTGCCGTGACTAAATAAACTCTTCGGAATGACCGTATTAAACTTCTTTCTATGAAGAATATTGAAAATATTTTCTATAAAATAGTGGGCTCATTCCAAAAAATGTGAGAAAGCTATATACAAAGGTTATATTTGTACAGATCAGTGTCGATAATAAATAAAATTGGCAATGAAATGGTAAAAAAATGTAATTTTCTTCGCTATTTAATTGTGTGAACTACCTTTAATAATAGTTGATGAAACAATATCGTACATTGTAAAATAAATTTAAGTTATTCAACTTTATGGTACATACAGACACGATTATCGTCCGACCTACGATCAACAACAAAAAAATCTATTTGACAAAACGATAACTGATACTGACAAAATTCTCCGAATTTTTTTAATTAAACACAATTATACTAACTATCGTCTTATCTTCAATGCAGTAATTATTTCTAAAACGCGTTTAAACCTTTCAACATATATAAATAAATATGTAGTTCAATTATCTGCTTGAAACCTTGGATGTGCTGTTAGTAATTGAATCCTAACAATCAAGTAATAAAAGTTCTAATTGGTATTAACAGGAAACATAGAACAATTAGAGAGGGAGGGAACTTAAAGAATAAACATTTTATTTCAAGAAATGAGAGATGAAATTTCTATTTTTATAATACCACGCAGATATTGGTACTTGCGAAACGGGGGCAAACGGTATTTAGAGGGTAAATATGTAGTTTATGAGCGAACAGATAAATGACTGGGGTATGACAAGAATGATAAGGAAGAATTGAGGCACAAAAACTAAATATAAACCATTGATAGGAAACTTTTATTAAAACATTGCTTCACATAAGGAAGTGTACACAACATTTCAAATATTCCCAAATATTCGATATCAACTTATATATTATAAATCATTTTAGAATCTAAGTTAATGTATAAAGTAACGCTTTCAAATCCCAAACTGATTAAAAGTCGAAGGTTTCCATAATTCCCGCGCAACGTAACTCAACTCAAACGCGTGTAGAGAAGTTGTTTTCCTGGATATCCTGATCAGGTTTCGCATACTTATGCTATACTATGCTGTAGCATACCACAATTAAATGTCAGATATATACACACACGTCTCTTTTTCAACGGTATGCAAATATCTTGATGGAAAGTTTGATACGCGCGCTTCCGAACTATTCCGATACGCAGAGCGAGTGTACTTTAGCTACTTTATGCCTGGCATCCTCGATACAATATAATTACATTCGCGATCCGTGTCCATTACGCAGGTTATTCGAATAAATCAACTCTTGTCACGGTGGGGCCGGTTAGTCATTGATTTACGAACATCGGCTACGACGTGATTTTTCTTTATAAAACAGCATCTCTAGAAGTTTCTTTATAAAATTCTAGTACCGCGTTTACGAAAACTTGGCGACATAAGTAGTTCTAGAGCAACGAAACAAATAATGTTACTGGATAGCGTTTAACTGCTCCCTTTAACCTTTTAGGCACGACACGCCACTATAGTGGCTTTCTCGCATGTCATCTTTCAGAACGACACGCCACTATAGCGGCTTGCTCTAGTAGCTCACTCGCTCATCGTTTGAACCAAATAATCGTCTTCGTATGCATTGTTTCACACTTCTTTTGTCTTCACATCGATTTACAACAGTCTACAGGGTGTCCCAAAAATGTCTCGCAATCCGAAAGTGGCGGGTTTCTCAGGCCATTTGAAGCAACTTTTTCCTTTACAAAAATTTTCTCTGAGTCACCGTTAACGAGTTATTAACGAAAAACAGTGACCAATAAGAATCGAGTACGGCTGACGCGAGGCGGCTCAGCCAACCAGCGCACGAAGCCCAGTTCCGCTCATTGGCTCGATCGCCTCGCGCCAGCTGAGCTCGCCTCTCATTGGTCACGGTTTTTCGTTAATAACTCGTTAACGGTGACTCAGAGAAAATTTTTGTAAAGGAAAAAGTTGCTTCAAATGGCCTGAGAAACCCGCCACTTTCGGATTGCGAGACATTTTTGGGACACCCAAAATTGGGACATCCTCTGTACAGTACACATCAGACTCTGCCGTCCAGAGAAATAGCCTCGCGCAGAATTCAGCCATACCTAAAAGGTTAATATCCCGTTCTTTAATATCCCTATTTCGCTGTATGTGTATATCGTGA